AGTGGAAAGACTTCAAGTGTGCTGATACCTGGGGACGTGGGTTGCACAGTCAGACAAGCTGCAAATGCAAGACGAAGGAGGAGTAGTACGTTTGCAATTGCAGTTGTGCTGTAAAAGAGCTAATGGTTTAAGGCTAATCATTCAAAAAAAGATGAAAATCGGAGAATAGGACTTCTTAAATGAAGAATTTACTTACAAAATCTTTTGAATTTTTCTTAATACTTAGGAGTTTTAGATCCTTTTGAGCAATACTCTCAACTGGGTAGTGGAGATTCTGATTCTGTTTTCCGCCGTTGTAAATCTTTAGTGAAGTAATTACAAGTCACTAAAAACCACTCTCATCGCTTTGCAATCTGTTTCTGTTTCTTGGCTTCCCCAAAGATTTTTCCGTAACATCTCTGTCCTCCAGGCTCCGCAAGAGTCTCTTACAGTCCCCAGATCCTTCTTCATTCCTTGTCCTTAACCGTCAGCCTCTGATCAATCATCCCTGGAAATAAAGTTTTCCTGCAGACCTCCCGTCTTCCTGGCACCGTGGCAGCGATTCGCCTCCACCAGCCGCTTCCCAACGCAGCTGCTCTTCAGCCAGCCGACATCGAACCTGGGCAGATGAGCAGCTCTCCATCCAGGCAGGGTGAGGAGGGATGCATTTTGCTGCCTGCATCTTGCTGTCTGACATTACTGTCATTTTGACAGAGAAAATGCCTGAGTTTGACACCTTTGCCCCCTGTTTTCGTGAGGCAAGTGGGAAAAAAAAATCTCATTAATCATGAGATTCCCAATTAATTAAAAAGAACTCCATCACTCGGCTTACCCATCCCCGTATACAACCTGCTGAAGAAAAAGGTTGTGCTGGACACCCACAAATTTTCTCTGATGTCCGTGTTGCTAATAATTTTAAGAGCAGCACTCAGGGTTGCCTAATGCAAGCCAAGCATTAGGAGGTACTTAAAAAGCTCTGAAAGAATCTGATTTTCGTCAATCACATGTAAAATACCGTAGTCAGGAGGAAGTTCATTTCCCCAGCGCAGGGAGAGGGCTGCCGCAGCACCTGGACCCCTTCTCCGGAGGCCGCTGGCACAGCTCCCGCGCGGGACGAGCAATCGCTTTGTTCATTGCCACCGCAGAAGCAGTAATGAATTCTGCAGCTGGCTATCCAGTTTCAGTTCTAAAGTATTTTTCCAGTGCTGAAGCCACGAGACAGTACTTCAGTGACCGGTGCAGGCACCGTCACATAGTTGTTAGAAATGTATTCTTGGAGGTATTCAAAATACATAGGTTCCCGTTGTAAGGTATGGATCTGTACTAACAGTCACATGGAAAACTTGTAGGATGAAATAACCTGGTACTTATTTGCGGAGCAGTGCAGGTGTCTAGCTTTCTGAACTGTTGCTTGGTAAGCTTATGGTACATAATCCTTCTTATGGTTTGGTTAGAGCATATCTTTTAAAAAATAATACTGGAAACCTTTCTGTCAAGGGAAGTTGGTCCATGTGAAATCCCAGGTTTTTTATGACTATATAAGCTGCATGTATGCATACAGTATACCTTAATATATGTACCTATATGCTCCCAGTCCATAGGTTCTTCAAAGGAAACTTGAAATATCTTATTTTTATTTCAACTTAACTGGTATCAAACAGCGTTTCTTAACAGGGAATGTTTTTTTTGTTTTTCCTGAAAAGACAATGGTGAATAGTTGATGAAAGCTGATGCTCTAATTTATGTTGAACACTCCCCAAGTGTTAGAATAATATTCTTCTTGGATGCTACTGACCTTTTCAAGTGGTTTTTTTTCCCCTCTTGAAACTTGTAAAAATTACAATAAAAAAAAAAAGATCTTAACCATTGTTCTGTCTGCGAGAGAATTTCTGTGTGGCCTCCTGCTGTAACACACGTCTGCGCGCCCGGGGCGAGGAGCGGGACCAGTCCCCGCGGGGGGGGACCAGTCCCCCGTGCACGGTGCCCACTGTGGCCCACCCACCGTGGGCCGAGGGGACGCCCCGTCTCCCCCCGTCCTCTCCCCACCGCCCTGCTGCTTTTCAGGGTGCTGCTGAGCTGGACGAACCACCGTACGGTTTTGTCTACGACAGGCTTGCAGATATCTTGGGTGTCCTACTAGTGAATAATTACAACGTTGGTAACTTCATGGAGAAGAGATGTTTCGTGCTATAGTTTATTTTACTGCAGTATTTTTTAATCACTTATTTATTTTACGGTACACTTTAAAATGCTGCTGTAGTAATTCTGCTCATCTTCACTGAGAACTAACTAACAGCATTTTCTCAGTATTGATTCATATGGCCGTAACTTATTATGACTACATTAATCATCTGTAAAAGTTTCTAACTTCTTGTTTTGGATGTCTCTAGTTTTTTGCATAGCAATGCAGTTTAAAAAGAGACTTGGTGAGAAGCAGGCTGTATAACGTGGGCAGCATAAGCCTGCTATTGTTCCTTGTTCTCCAGTCTTGTGAGCCTTTTCTTTCTCTGCGATAATTAAATTAAAAAGTTTGGAAAATATTAAACAGGGCTAAAATGTTTGGCATGGCATCGTTGAAAATTTGTGTTGGTATATTTTCACACTCCTCCCACAGTTGTCTTTGTGGTTTTTTTTTTTTGTTTTTGGGTTTTTTTGGTAAACAGCCAGTAGCTGGGACCATGCCAGGGATTTTTCTTTCACTGCATTCATTGCTGTTTGTGCCACTCTTTAGTCTCTTAATTACATGACTGCAATCTTCTTTGGTTCATTGTCCAAATAAAAGTTCAGTCAATTCAGCATTATTTTGCTCGGTGCTGCTGCTGTTTCGATCATGTGTAAAATAATGAATTGGGTTCGGTTCCGTAAGCGGCAGGTTTTGTTCTCAAAACCAGGTTCGTGCCACGTTTGCTGCTCAGGCAGGGGAATGCAAGAAGAGGGGTGCTGTCCGGAGATGCGCTTTGTCGGTCTCTGGAGATGAGCGACTTCGGGTGGTTTTGGCAGCGGTGGGGACAGTTTGTGACTTGCTCGGGGTGGGTGCTCGGAGAGAGCGCTCGTGTCCCCTGCTGTGACAGGGTGACTCCTGGTTCAGTGGGTGGCTCTTGCGTGCCTGGCTGGGAACTCCATCCTTCTTATGAGGCGTGGGGATTGCTGGGGCTGCTCCGCCGCTTCTCTCCTGTCTCCTCTGCAATAAGGGAAGACAACTTACTAAGAATATTTCCAATAAAATAGGAACTAAGACATGCCCTTAAAAAAAAGAGAAAGAGGAAAAAACACTCTAATTGCAAATTGCTTTTAAGGAATAGAGAACTTGGGGTGGGTTGGCTGGTTTGTTTTCAAAAAAAGCACATTTGGTTATAAAATATTTCAAGAATGATTCTTTTTGTTGAGAATAATTAGAAAGTTTGGAGAATCTCATAAGAGAATCTCTTAATTAGATTTCTGTCCTTATTTAGAGAACAAAACTCGGTTTGTATAATCTTCAAAATATCACCCTAATCAGCTAAATGAGCCGAGCGGAGTATAGGAGTTGTCTGGTCATAACCCCTTTTCTGGTATTCTGATTGTGACCAAATAAATCCAGGGGAACCCAGGAAAACAAGCTCTTCCAATAGGAAATTTAACTTGGGATCCAGATACAGCTAGAGGGGCTACCAAGAAGCTGATAAATGTTTTCATTATACATAAATTAAAGCTTCTGTTTGCATGATTAGCGTTGCTTTGTCCACTGAGACTAATGGTTTTGCTTCTGAGTAGTTGGTGGGTTTTTTTCTTATTTAGGTCTTTGATAAAATCGAATGATAATGAGTTGAAAGGACATGATGTTCATAACTGACAGTTAAGTGCTCTCCTGTACACACTACAATGAAATTACTATGTAGCACACGAAGTGGGTTTTGCATTTTTTTTAAAGATAGCATACTCTGGAAAACACGAGATGTCGTAGGTGGTTGTATTATTTCTTAGTTGAGCACACAGTGATGTGCTACTTTTTTGGCAATATAATTTTGCTGTAAGTTCAAATTACAACTACATTTTAATTAAAAAAAAAATAGGCGTCTCGTATATATACTTTTTTTTTTTAAGTTGAAAAGGGGTGTTATGTATCTTGACGTGCTGCCCTGCTGGGAGAGGAGCCGAGCATGGGAGCGGGGTGCAGCGGTTCCCAGCCAGCGCCAGCCCTCGCGTTAGCTGCTCTGCCTTCTCTTGCTTGCGTTAAGTTTACGCTTTCGTGGTCTTGCCTCCAAAAGTTGGGTGTGATTTCAGTAAGTACGCGGTAATTCTAAGTAAGGAGAGGTATTGCCTGCTGCAGTGAACTGAAAGCACGTTCGTTTACAGCTCTAAGGGGCTTGCAGATAACCCGGACAAGTAGCTGTGACAAGAGATACCCATGTGAAGTAAAAGGGTAGCAGGTACCAGCTCAGGCGAATGCAAAGACGTTCCGTGAGATGAAGCTTGTAACGGTGCGTTAAAATGCTTATAACGGAAAATACTCATCAGCAGGCTGCAGAGGTCATGCTTTAAATTACTTGCAAAGGAACTATAAAGATCCTGATGTAATTTATTGTGCTATAAAACCTATTAGAGGTAATGTTAACCAGTAATTCTAAAATTGGAATGCAGAAGAGGTTGCTTTTTATCAATAAAAAGTAGGTAAATCTATTTCAAAAAAACAAAACATGAATAGTATCTAGTTTTTACTCTGAAAAAAGAAACAAAATCTGATCCATGAAGAGGAATGGGGTATTTCGGTGCATTATCTAAACATCTCATAAAATTCTCAGCACGTAGAAATTGGAATATGCTTAATACACCTATGGGAGGTGAGTGAGGTTTATGATCCTTTTCTGTTCAGAATGCTGCAGAGCCGCTTGATAGTATTGCTAAGCCTTGGCAACTAGAGATACTTACACAGGTATATACAATCCATGGTATTACCCGGGTGTTTTTGTATCCCTTTTTACAAGTTATTGTAGTAATGATACATTTTTTTTCTAAATTTTTTTTTCCTTTTTCTTTTGCAGGATTTTTGCTTTTTAAAGACTATTGCATGAATGAGATTGATGAAGCTGTCCCTCAGCTGAAGTTTTATGAAGAGGTAAGTGGCTGTTGCTGGAGTTTTGGGACTGTGCGGGGGAGTGAGGCTGAGGAAGGCTGTCCCTCTAGTCCTCGGGCAGGGGATGCTGAGAGGGAAGGAGCGGTGTGCAAGGGTGCATGTTGTTCTGAGTCATTTCAACTTCGTAGTGGAATGGTTGATTCATAAGAGACAATATTTTATACAGTAATGGTTGTTCCCTTTGTAACAACAACAGTGTTACCTTTGTCCCTTTGTCAAAGGGACAAAACTATCATTTTAAACATGCTCAAGAGACTTTTAAAAATAGCAATGTAACTATTTAATGAGGTTGGTAATTTGGCACGGTACTCTTACAGCGTATGTTATGAGAGTAGCGTAGATGATTCCCCATTCCCCCCCCCCCCCCTTTTTGGACAAATACTTAAGGTTTACAAAATGGAAGGAATATTTGCAGGAAAAACCTACTCTAGCTCAACTTCTAACAGTGCTTTTAATTGCATATACTAAAGCTGTGTCGTCTTATTAAACATAAGCAAAAAAAGCATTTTAAAAGCTACTGTTACAGTTTTTGTCCTTCAAGAATTAAGTATGTTTAGTTTTAAGGCATAATATGTTGAAAACAAAACAATGGAAGAAAGTTACCTGAGCAGCCACTTAATCAAATGTTCATTCACCGCATTCATGTGTCAAAAGATAACTTGGAAAATACTGAGAGAATGATGGAAAGGGGAAGAATACTAATAGGGATTAGAATACCTTTAGGTTTATTATTTTTTTCTATCATAAGGTACACTCTTTGACTATGGTTCATTTGAAATATTCATAAGAAATGAGTTGAAATTAGGTTCATCTCAGTCTCTCCTTGTTAAATATCTCTGATATCTTAAGTTCAGCCAGGTATGTTCTTGAGAAATGGGATAAGCTTTTGATCTTCACTTGTGAAGATGATGATAAATCTTAGTTCTGCTACAAAACAGAGATGAAGTTAAAATAAGTAACATTTGCCAGCTCTCAGTGGAATTAAAACAGTGGATTCCTTCTTTCAAAAAAAACCTGAAAGCAAAACCAATGCTTTTTATTATTCTAGCTGACGTGGGACATGGATTCATATCTATTGCCCGTAGTGAAGATTTTCCTTAAAGGCCTAAAATGAGCAAATTTATCTTACACTGTCCCAAAGAGCAAAAGCAGAAAATCGAGCGTGGTTCCCCGATGCAGTTTGCTTGTTTGTCCCTGGCATTGCTGGCAGCTGGTGCTGTGGGCATCACAGCCAGCTTCTGGCTTGGCTCCGTGTCATCCGCCGGAGGAAGCGGCGTGTCTGGTCCTTTGCATCCCTCGTCTCGCTCCCTGAAGCTTTCCCCGTGCCCTCCATGCTTCAGTGAGATGCCCAAACACTGTGCCTTCAGTCCCAGGCACCTCTTTCTCTATAGCACCCACCCAGACAGAGGACGATGCCCTGTTGTCTGTAGCTCATGTTGAGCAGCTGCCTGGGCTTGTAGAAAAGGAGGTGCAACTGAAGTTACTGGTGTTTGGATCGCACTCTCAAATGCCTCATGCCTTTCTCTAACATCCTTTTACCTGTAGAAAAGGCAACAGAGCACAGCTGTCTGTGGCATTGCATGAGGGCCGTAAGGACAGCTGAGGCTGGTGCTAGCTTCTGAGATTTCTTGGGAGTCACTGTGGCAGGGTTGCAGAAAAGCCCTGCCAAATGCTGCAGATGGGTAAGAGGATCCTCCGGAGAGTGATACGAGAGGTGGCTTTAGATCGATAAGGTCAGTTGTACTCCATTGTCATGAGATAATCAGTGAAGAAACTAACAGACATGGTGCCCGAGGCAGGCGTGCATCCAGAAGGATTAATACTTCAGAAGCGTGCGGATGGAGCGTGTCGTGTCCTTCCCCAGCCCTGCTTTGCTGAAAGGGCTCCGTCAGCGCTTCCGCAAGGACCGCTCAGGAAACTTGATGAGTCTTACCGCTCCATTCATTCCTTGTTATATTTGTGACACTCTAAATATAAAACTGTAGTTAATCCTATCATAGGTGCTGGTTTCAGTTAAAACATGCACACGTGCTTTTAAAAGGCAGCCTGTGTTGCTCAGTATTAATTAGAAATGCTGCCTGAGGTAACCTTTTGTCTGGATTACTCTTAAGCTGATGATACAAAATTTTTCTTGCTAGTGGGCTAACAGCACAAAATAGGTTAAGCTGATTATCAGTTTGGAGATAAATCCTTAGCGATATACAGTTCTCCCCCCTCAAATTAGATACTCGCTGTCAATAAAGAAGAATCTTTTTCTATCGTTTTCATCTTTTTATATACTGAAGATATCACTGTCATAAGTAATCAAAAAGGAATGTTGTAACAGATTGTTTAGCAAGATATTTTTAGCTGCCTCTTTTTATCTCTGAAACAATTTGAAATTGTATTTTTAGGTTATTAGCAAAGTGTTGCCTAAAAAGAATTTAAATGCTTTGTCATGTACTTTTCAAAAAATCCCATTAAAGATGTTTAAAGAGAGGTTCACTGCGTTTTCTTCTGTGACATACCGGATTCAGAAGCTTTTCTTTTTTTAATATATTTGATTTACTTACTGCATTTATTACATGTAGAATAATTTGAGTACATTGCTACATTAAAAATCGCTTGATGTAGAAGGGCTCCATACTCCAGGGATTACATATTACTGCAGCTTAAGTCACGATCAAGCATTTAACTGGATGAGTGATTCACCCAGATCGGTTTCAAAAAAAAAAAAAGAAAAAAAGAAAAAAAAGAAAGAGAAAAGAAAAGAAAAAGAACTTCTACGTGCTTGAAAACGAATGCATTGTGATTTCAATTTTTGAAAAGATACTTTGGCAGACGCTTTTCTTGAGGTGAGCTGAAGTCTGCCAGGGAAGCGTTGAAATACATGATGACACAGTACGTGATCTCTGGGTCAGGAGCAATACTGAGGAAGCTGCTGCTAGCAGAGACAGGTTACGTTTATAAATGGTGACACTCCTAGCTCTGCCTGTTGCTGTGTTGTTTGGCAAGGTACAGTAATGTTCTAGTTAATAAACATGTAAAATTAGCTTGTGAATATGTCAGGCATGCATGTTAAATGTGATCACAGCAGAGGTGTCTCATCGCATCACCTGTGTGATGAGAGGCGTCGGGCAGCGTGTTCGGGAGGGCGTTCTCCCGGCGTGGGGGGGAGCAGGCTGAGCTGCCTGGGAATATATCGCCCATGGGGACTTTTGTCACCCGCTGTCCTTTTCTTCAAACCTTTACAAAACAAAGGCACTTTGAACGGTTAAAAAGCCCACTTATAGGGCAGGTGGGAGAGACGCTGACCTGGTGCCGGCGTGGCTGTGGGGGGCTGCTGCAAGAGACCCCTCTGCTTTGGGTGCGGAGTTAGGTGGTTTAAAAAAATAATATTGCAGGGCAGGAGGTTGCATTCAAGAAAGACAATGTGATATGCATCAGGCTTTCTCCTGTACTTCTAATTATTTTGCGGCGTTGCATTAATTAAAAAATGTTTCTTTGGCAAAGATGTTTTGAATCATTTTAATTATAAATTGATACCAAGGGGGAAGTAGTCACAGATGGCAAATCATGGTGGAACTGTTGCCTTATCGTAGTCAGCAAACAAGAGGACTACAGCTAGAAAAATACTGAGTTTAATTACGGTGTTCCACCTTCAAAGATCAATTGGTCTGTTTGTCACGTGGAGACCTGTTCAAGAGCTGTCAAGTACAGCTCATCCTGTAAAAGGAGCAGCCTCTGGATGAAGAAAAAAAAAATATATTGTGAAATAGAGGCAAAACACATGTTTTTAAAATCTTTACTTTTAAAAGTCCTCAACAATGTGCTTTCTGTTAACCCTGGTGCTGCTCTTGCTATTAAAGCGTGGCTGGCAGGAACAGCGGAGCCGTGCTTTTTGTCCCTGGAGGCCCAGCCAGTGCGTTCTCCCTGCTTCAGGAGGAGATGCTCTGGTACATCATTTGTGCAGGGTTTATTCTGCAGGCTGAAAGTACAGACAGCTCTGATATGGCCTGCTCCTTCTCTAACAGGCACTGAATGAAATACAGCTGGGTCTTATTCTGCGTTGGTTTTCTTGAGTCAGTGTAGGGATCCAGAGCAAGTCAGCACACGTGCGTTCATCTGCACCCTGCGACCTCACAGGCTGATGCTGGGAAAGTCCAGCAAGTCAGAGCTAAGACTTTTCCCTAAAGATCTTGTATGGTTTTTTTGCATTCTGTCAGTCCTGGAAGAACTCTTTCCCTAAATACAGTCCAAAGGACCCTTGGACTTGGTGTGGTTTTTTTTTCTGGAACTGATTTTCTGGTTTTGTTCTGTAAACTAACCATATGGGATTGGTGCTGCTTCACTTGGAACACACAGACCTCCTATATCACACCTGAAGAAACTTGATATATTTTGTGAAACTGTCTTTCTAGCCACCTTTAGGATTCAAATTCAACATGTAGCTGAACTACGTGAACATTTTGAAATGTGCTTTATATTCTTTCCTGGACATCAGTACTTCGCGTGCTGTAATCGCCCTTGAGCAGGATGCGCGGGCGCTGCGCTGGCAGCCGAGGCCTGTCACTAGGCGATGGTTGTGCTGCCTGGATGACATATTACAACTCTTCTGCTAGCGCCGGGAGCTTGGAAAAGCTGTGGTGTGCTGTGGCTAGTGCAGAGCATCAAGTGAAATAATCTGAGAAAGGGGTCAACGCTCTTGAGTGTTAGAGGAGCGAGGTCAGTGCTCTCCATCTGTGAGCTGAGCGGAGGGGAAGGAAACCTTCAGAAATGTTGCTGTGCATGTTTGCTCGTCTCGCTCTCCTTGCACGGTCCAGTCCTCTCACGCAGTTAGCCTCTGACTTCCCCTGCACAGATTCATGCTCTGGCAAGTGGTAGATGGCAAACGTGCTGCTTCAGCTCAGTCCTTTACAAATTTTAGAAAACAAAGCTTTGGAGCAATTTTAAGCAAATCAGTTTCCTTGCATAAAAATTCTAAGATAGGCGGGAAATCTAAGATCAGCTATAACTATTGTATTGCAGGTGTTTTTTTCTTTAAGTCTTAATTAAGAAAATAATAAAGTAAAATAAAACTTCAGCCAAAGTCTTGTTTTTACCAAATGAGTGAAAAATCATTAGAAATGTGCTCATCTAATGGATCCTTCTCTCTTGTATTGCAGATAAAAGAATACGAGAAACTGGATTCTGAGGATGAGCGTCTGACCCGAAGTCGGCAGATTTATGACATGTACATAATGAAGGAGCTCCTGTCCTGTTCCCATGTGTGTATCACCCAAATTTCACGCTGCTCTTTCTTTGCCTTACTTGAGTAGCTTGACAGCAGTGATAATTCAAAATAACTGCTATTTCATTCAGAGAACAATTAAGACTATTGCTGAAGGAATTGTTACTACAAATACTTGTAGTGCTGTGGATTTCCGTTTGAAGTCCGTGGGACTGGGTTTGGCTGAATTCAGCATGCTCCCCCCCACCCAGTCATGAGGTGTAAAGATTGGTGGTGTGTGCCAATTTTTACTAAACTTGGTGGTACGCAAAGGAAATATTTGGAGATTTATCTGTTTTATATTTCTTCAGACTAAATCTCTATTTTAAAATACGGTGAGTGCAGTTCATGTGTGTACATATACATGCACACATATACATACATTAACCAACCTCCGCCAACCCAGCAACAGCCCTGTCTCCAAAAACTCAAAGAAACGTGAGCTGCCGGGGGCTCCGTGGGACACTTTGGGTGTTGAACTTTGGTATCTCTGAAAGCTCAGAGTAAAGTTTGAGATTTTGTCTAAAACTGATCACACAAAGATTTTTTTTTTATTATTATTATTTGTTTGGTCATAAAGCAGTTTTTCATACTAGAGACAATACACTTTTTAGCTGCCGTATGGTAAGTTAAAGGCATGGGGCTGTGCTGTGACAGATGCAGCTTTGTTAAAGTCAATGAAAACACACATTTCCTCCAGCTGAAGTTTTGGCCCATTGATCTGTATTTAACAGTTTCATTTGCTCTTACTTTAAAGAAGAACTTGCAGTGTGTTTTACCCCAGTGGTATGGTTCTTCGGATGAAGGGTTGAAGCAAGGTTTTGTTAAGCATGCATTATTGGCTCTGTAGTGGTAAAAAGTCCGTGTCAACTGCTGTATCTGGAGCTGTCCCTGTATGTGGGATTTCTCATGAATTTGTTAAAGGAGCATCATCTAGCCCTTTTACCTTCACCTTCCTCCTCCTCATCTTCCCCTGACCTGCCTTCCTGCTTTAGAATAATTGTTTTACTGTATCATTCTGCATGTTTCACAGTAATATACTTGGAGGAAGCTATACTGCATTCATTCTGAAGTATGTGTATTTTTCATATGGTTCAAAGAACAACAGTGCTGTAGACCTTAAATGAAACTTCTTACATTTCCAACTGTTTGAAATCTTTATTTTTCTTTTTCAAAAGCCTTTCTCAAAACAAGCTGTAGATCATGTACAAACACATTTAGCCAAGAAACAAGTGCCAGCCAGCCTTTTTCAGGTGAGGTTAAGACAGTCTGAATGTTCAAGTTTTCTTCACTTATTTGACAGTAAGTGACTTTGTACATATTATTTAAGGAGACAGAATAAAACGGTACTGGTAAATATTCTTTACTGTAATAGTGATACTAGAATGCTTTTCTAAGTCAAATAAAAATTACAAATTACTATTCTTATCTAAAATATTTTTAAGCACATTTATGAAAGCAAACTATAACTTTGTATATGAACAGAATAGTTCTTAAATTTATGTAATTTTAGAGTAAATCACTGTACATCGGGAAGATACACATCCTGTCAGGATAAACCAAATTGCATAGTGGAGAAATTGCCTTAATGTTTCAGTAATGTGAAATCTTTGAAAACATTTTTCCTTTTTCTTTAAGGTATATTAATTCCTAGTTGATGATGGTGAGGAATTAAGCATTTGTACCATTTCACATGTTTTTCTGTCTCTCCACAAGACAAAATCCAATCAAAAATTACCTTTCTAAACAGGAGTTTCTGCACCTTTCAAATTGTGGTGCTTTTTTTAAACTTTCTAAAATTCTGAACTGTTAAAGTATGATTGGCATATCCTCCATTTGAATATAAATATAAATGGTATCCTGGCTCATTTGCGAAATTATACATCTTTCATGTTTTTATTTACTTTAGAAAATAAAGAAATGAGAAGTGAAATATTTCTTGTATTGTTATAGCTCTAATACACATCGATACAAGACAAGAAATTCAGAATTATGCTAACTTTTATAGCTAGGTGCATTAAACCAGTGTGGTTTTGCACATAATGAACCTCATCAATCGTGGAGTGTTTATAGGCTTAAATGTCTTTGATGTAAATCTTACGTATTTGTATATATTGCAAAAATGTGAAGATTGCCCCTGCCTGATTTTTCTTACTGCTCAGTGAACTGTTTTTAATGTTGCAATTAGGTGAACTGACAAATTGATAACTACATTGCTTGAGTTATATCTCACCGCTAATTGGGTTGGGATTTGAGATCGCTGCATGCCATCACACATCAAGAGGAAGTATTTCTCTAGAAAAAGTCACTTGTGAATTGAAGGTGCTGGTTTCTTCGTAAGGACAGAGAGGAGAGAAGCACCAAAAAGATGAAGCGTGGCAGCAGCTCTGGAAGTCACACTCCACGGGAGTGACCACGTGTTGTTTAAATAAATTTGAAAAAAGAACTGAACTGTGATTGTTTTGCCAAACTTGTTGTCCATAGACAGTGCTTTACACAGGTTTCATACAGGCCCCCCCCCCCAAGGCAAACATTTAAGGTTTTCTAGCTCTAGAAAATATTTTATGTTTGACTTCAGGGCACCTGCTCAGATTCCAAAAGCTAAATGAAGCTTAAATGCTTCATTGAGCCTCCTTCAAGGAAAACACAGTAAATGCTGTTGTTATGTAGGGCCGATGTGAGTTATATGTAATGAGTAGTATTGCATAATCAGTTTATTGTATGCTTAAATACTAACTGTGTTTCTTAACCCTTTTTAGCCATATATAGAAGAAATTTGTGATAGTCTCCGAGGAAAAATATTTCAAAAATTTATGGAAAGGTATGAACATGACGTATTATCTGGACTTTCTACCTAATGTAGCAGGAAGCCAGGTCCCTTAAGTATTGATGTAAAATAAGGCTAAAAGTGTTTAATAAACTTCATTTATCCATTTGCTGTAATTATGTAACTGGGATAATTATATATCCATTTGCAAGCTTCTGCAAATGACTAGCTTTGTTGTCTATCATAATTAATGTCAAGATGTATGCATGGAAAAATTGTAAAGATGATAGATTTTTCTGTTGCTCCGTGTAGCAGTAATAATAGATTGCAGTTTGATCTTAAAGGTTTAAAAATGCTGAACTATGCTCTTGTGGGATGTTCTCATGAGTAACCATCTCTCGCGTGTGACTGAAAGAGCCAGTCATTCTGGTTTGTGTCTGGACACCTTGCAACTAAGCAGAAAAGGTCTAGTAAAGAATACAAGGCATAGACCTAGTTCAGCTGAGCAGCCCCCTTACCCTTAATGGAACTGCTCTTGGGTGCAGGGTCTGTAAAGTATGGCTCTCATCCAACGACAGCCAAATATACTGTACGAAATGGTATGGTAGTATTCTGCAGTCAGCCTGAAATAATTGTAAAAATGCCTCCATAGAACTATTACTTCTTACTCTGAAAATAAATAATTATTTATGTAGAAATGAGAAACTTTTTTTTGGCAACAGCTTATGGTATTATTGACGTTTTTCCTATTTTAAGACAAAATGAGTTTAAAATGTTCCTTGGGGTATACGGAGGTTCATTAACATAAATCGAGCTGCCTCTGTTTTCTTATAATTATCTTTCTCTTTATGTAATTTAAATGTTTGTTAGTTCCAATCTTAGTTGTTTTTAAAAATTAAAAACCGTCTGAAAGAGAGATGTGAGGACATACTGAGCACTACAGTTACAGGGATAGGTTATCTGATATCTTTCTCTTATAAGGATGTAAGATATTAAGTGCACACTGTCTAGTAATTGTTTTTCTTGGTGGGGGTAAGATTACAATTGTTTGAAAGGAAGGCTATCATTTACTAAATATCACAACATGCCCTAGTGCAAACTTTATTTTAACTATCAGAGTCTTGATGTTTTCCATAATACTTTACACAGTAGTCTCAGACAACTTTTAAACTTTTTTTCTACAGTGACAAGTTTACTAGATTTTGTCAATGGAAAAACGTAGAACTAAATATTCATGTAAGTACTTACAAGTATATTTATCTTGTCAAAGGCTGATACAGGAAAGAAAATGTTCGGTTTTGAATACTGCTTCTGAAAAGGCCTCATTAAGGAGTACGGTGAATGTTACTGATCTGCTCTTCTATTCTTAGACGTACAGTCCTAACGATTCCTTTCTGGACGTCCCTTCTGCCTGTCTCGAGTTAATAGCTTTTTGATTTTTATAATAGCTGAAAGAAACTGAACTGCCAGAATTGCTGCTCTTTAACAGCCCCAGACACCGTCTGTCTCCTTTTCCCCACTACGGTTCTGACGTTGTCCCCAGCACCCCTTACCTCAGCCTCTACTTTTGTCCCTCTGTGCTGCTCTTTTACAACTTTGTCTGTAAAAATAGCCCTCCTCTTCTGCAGACTGCGTTATGAATGAGACTGTCAGTCTTTGGCAACAACAGGCTCATTCGTCTTGTTTGTACTTCAGACTGTAGTGCTTGCAAGTACGTTGAAATATAAACAATAAGGGGCTCCTTTTTCCAAAACAATAAATGCTGTATGAATTACAATACTTAATTATCTTAACACAGTAGATTATTTAGTTGTTTTTACAGTAAGTTTTTTACTACTGAAAAGCGAAGTCTGGTTTTGTTTTGTTTTTTGCGTTTACAGCTGACCATGAATGATTTTAGTGTACATAGAATAATAGGAAGAGGGGGATTTGGTGAAGTGTATGGTTGCAGAAAAGCAGACACTGGAAAAATGTGAGTATGTACACACGTTATTTTAGAGGTAATTGTAAACTCTGAACTAGTAAGGAAATCCTTCCAGTCATTTCTTACAAAATCACTGGAAAGCAGCGTCACATTACTGTGTAGTTCTTTGTAACTAAATTTTATCCCAAGAGGTTCTGATTTCTGGATCATCTTTAAGCTTAGTTTGATATTTGATCCTGTTATGTGCCATGCAGTGGGGCTCCAGTCTAGCAGAGCTCTTAAGCGCATCCTTCATTTAAATGGTCTTGTCAAAATTAATGGAGACTGCACATGTGTTTAAAATTAAGTATGTGCTTAAATGATTTCCTGGATCAGAGCCTGACAGTGCAGAACGATGTTCTTGTGGAAGCCGTGGTGATTATGTGAGGTGTTACCTCTCATCTGCTGAAGGTTGCTCTTCTTGCCACAAAGCGCATCACGTAGCTGGCACTGACATAGGGTTGGAGGATGACACAGGAGTATGACCTCAGTGCTGTTCAATCTGTAGGGTCGTGCCTGGACAGATTCTGAATATGGTATTCCAGATATGTGTAATTGCATAAGTTTCTGCCCTGATGAGCACGTTTCACTGGCAAAAGCAGTGATCCTTGCTTACGTTTGGAAGAATATAGTTCCAGTGTTGAAATGCTGTTTAACAGAGCTCTCGGTGGGAACTCCAAGATCAGCCTGTGTTTTTTTTCTCCTTTTTCTGGTCTTAACCATTCACACACTTCTCCTAATCAACAGATTCCAATCTCTAGGTGTAATTGTCCCATTATGTCCTGTTTTGAACATCTGGGCATTGATTTAAAAAATTGTTCTCAATCTTTATCTATCTATTTATTTATTTATCTACACTCCACCCCCCCACCCCCCCTTTCATCTCTCTTTTCTCCTAACAATTTTAGTCCAGGGACCATCCTTACACACTCTTCTAAGTAAGCATAGCATGTTTGAAGTGCCGAGTCTCTGCGATTACAGCTGGCTTCACTGGCAATTGTGTGTGCTTGGCATCCTTGATAATAATAAATTTTTGAGCTATTAACAAGTGGAAGACATCTTAATGTTGCTATCATGCTCAGTATTTTTGCAGTGACCTCAAGTATTTATATTATTACTATTACTAACAATACGGTCTTTATTCTTGCTTTGGTACTTCTTTGTCCATGTACAATTCATTAACTTGTCCATGTACAAAAATAAACATTTTATTTAGCTTGAGCCACACTAAGCAGGCGTCCACCCCGAAGAGGTAGTTCTCAGATTCCCAGTCATTTTCATGTCTGAGTTTTGCTCTGGCAGGAGGTGGATAAACTTTGGGACTAGCAAGGGAAATAAAGGACAGTTTTTATCGGATATAAATAGAGTAAAGGGAAGTGAAATGTGGGAAAACCAACCTTTTTCAAATTTGAAGCAAAACTTTAGATTAGGTTCAGTTTCTGGGTAGAGGTTTGGTTTAGTTCTTTCTTAATCCAAACCTGTTTACCCATCCCTAATCCAGATCCCGTCCACTCTAGATGGCTGCCTCTGCTGCACTTACTGCCTGCAAGGAGCTTGGGAAGCCACCCCTCCAAGGTAAATGCCATCGGTGTTTCACTAACCCACAAAGATACACCTGAGGCTTCTTTCACATCACCTCCTTCAAGGACATCTAAATAGGGGCCAGAAGTACGATGCAGAAAGCAGTCCAAAGGGGGAGGGATAGCAGTGCTTTTTGAGCACGTAACTCGATATAAGAATGAGATACTTGATTTCGATCAGCCTTAAACGGCCCCAGTCATTCACTTTGATCCGTGATGTCAAAGCATAAATAAAGGGTAGCGTGTGAAATGTTATTTATAGTCATCGTTTACAGACTTCTCAGCAAGAGCACGTGCTGTGAATATATTCCTTGTTTTGGAAACTTAAAATTCCAGTATGTTCACGCTCACTCTTCCCCCACTCAGAACACAAGCATGGCAAGGAATGACGTGGCTTTTTTAGGGAGTGCAAAGCAAAGGTGATACGAGGCCCTGTTTCTGTACAGAGCTGTCACAGCGTAGGCAGTTGATTAGCATTGATGCAGTGCTGTAACATGGTATTTTCCTGAGCATATTTTAAAACGAATGGCCTAAAAATCCATGGCTGCCCACGTCTAGAAATCTTGTATGGAGGAACACACGTGTCCTTCTCAGCTGTTCTCTAATAGTAGGCTCACCTAACGTCTTGAAAAAATATCCACAGACTGTATGATATCCTGCTCTCGTTTGATGGTTGTTAGGGTAACATTCTTTTTTGAGCAAAATTTTATTAATTTGTGTAATACAGATGGTGGAAGATAAAAAAGCTTTCTTGTGTATATCTGACCTTTCTTTGAGTAGAAAGAAAACTTAAAAAAAAAAAAATATATATAAAACTCAGCGTGTGTTCAAGGTATTACTTTCCTGGTAGAGTCGAAACTGTTACAATTAAATGGAACCATAATAGGGTCTCTGTTATTTAATTCATACTGCAAATCCTTGCTTGTAGATACTGAAAAATGGACGTATGATATGTAATTCCTATATCACTGTGTTTGTTTGGACACGGAATTATTTGTTAAAGCACATTTCTCTGTTAGGAGGCTTCTGTTGAAAATGCTTTAATTCTGTGAGATTTTGGAGATTTTCTTGTTTAGTCATGTAATGATGTTTTTAGTACCAGGTTTAAGTCTTTAAAGAGCTTGCTTACAGGATACTGTAAATATGCATGGCATAACTACTAGTGAATAATACTGAGTAAAGGAGGAAATTTTTTCTGGTGCTTTTTCTGAACAGTTAATATTTTCAGGTATGCAATGAAATGTTTAGATAAGAAGAGAATCAAGATGAAGCAAGGAGAAACATTAGCCTTAAATGAAAGAATTATGCTGTCTCTTGTCAGTACAGGAGTAAGTATCATTTATTTTTTTTTTTTTTTTTTTTGCATATAATATAACAGCTTTTATATATAATACATATTTCATCAATTCAGTTGTGTGACATGCGAAAGGTAAACCCCCCTGGAACCTTCCCCCTGATTCTAGCAATGTGTCTGGAATAAGAATGGAAGTTCTTTTCAGTTTGGGTGCTTACACAAATGAGCATCTTGGCTAAAGCCCACCCACCCACCCCCGATTTTTTAAATATTCCTTTTTCAAGTATTTATATTTGAAACTTCTCCAAAACATCATTCTGGCTTGTAAAAAAATTTCCTTTTCTGCTATAGTTACATAGTACTTTTGTAGAATATAAGATGCTATTTCAGGAGAAAACTTCTGTTACCTGTTCGTCCTCCTTTTCCTGTGACTGGTATTAGCTTATCCAATTTTTCCATTTTGTTTTTTATGTACTTTAGCTGAGTACCTATCAAGGTGTACCAAATAAATCTGCCGATCTAGCATGCAAGTCTATTTAAGGTTAGAAGTATCACTAATGTGCGTAAAAAGCAACCCACCTGGTGTTGGTTTCACCAGACTGTGTCTTGTTACCTGCAGAAGAGAAGTTCGGCAGTGGCCGCAGCATGTTGCGCTCAGACAGCTTCAGAGCAGGCTTTGAAGTGCCAGAGCCTTCTGAATACACTCATTAAACCAATCTTGAAATCAGCTCGTATCACCATGCTTACATGCGATGCTGGTAAAAAGATTAATTTTCCTCATGACTATTGTGGTGTACGAATTAAACACTCAGTTTGCAGCTCAGTGTAAACACATCCCCTTTTCCCAGCCCAGGTAAAGCATGAGAAGGGATTGCGTGTGATTTTGTTCTAGGCTTGTACAACAGGTGTGCAAATAGCATAATATCTGCAGTGCAGGAGGATTACTGCTTTGGCTTACAAGATGGCAGAGAGGAAATATTGTGCTGTACTCAGAGACAAGATCTGTATCTTGTGGAGACTGGGTAAATCCTGGTTTTGGTTCTGCATTACCCAGGTGGGTTAGTAAATACCGATTTCTTTTTAAAAAAATCTCACTTGTGATGCATTTAGCATCGTTTTGTCCTTTAAAGGCGTGTGCAGCACCTCTGCTGTCTTCTTCTGTTGTTCAGGGAACGCATCAGTCCGATCGGGCTTCAAGATGGGCTGTCTTCCGCCTGCAGATAGTCTGGGACTTCGCACTGCTTTGCTTGTAGGCGCAGCTGCAGGAGAACTGCCCGTGCTGCGGCGGCCCTTGTCTTCTGCAAAGTTGGCTTTAAATAACGGAGATGTGTTTTTCAGGGCTTACGTATAAATACAGAGTTACAATTGCTAAACAGTGCCCTTTTATTGTCAGGTGAATACATTGTGAATCAGACAACACTTGGTACTTTTCAGCCTCACGATAGGCATGTGAGGTGCTCTCTTGTGCGGATTGACAGAACGGGAAAGCTGATGGCAGTTTTGGCCCTAGAAGATTAGCTTTTGAAGTTGTCTTGCTACCCGTCAGACCATTTTCCTCTGCTGTTAGAAATACCCTGGTAAGGCAAATTCTAAACTGGAAATGAGGGAAGCTACACGTCAAGGTGTTATCATAAGGTTTAACTTTTTCCTCACTGCAAAGCTCCAAAGGAAGGACGAGGTATTTCTTCTTGTGCCTTTCATTGGAAACTCCTCCCCTGCCTCAGCCTTTCTCTGAAGAGGGGCAAGCATCCACTGAAATTAAAAGTCAGTGCATGTCCTTCAACACAGGATTGCATTCGCATTTGGCTTGAACATAAAGAAAGACAAAGGACTGGAAAGTATTTCTTTGTTCTTTTATCTGTGAAATTAACAATTGGGATTTATCGGTTAGGCTTTTTAATCAAGTTAACTGTTTTCACCAAAGATAAGTTGTGGCTTGTCCAGAGGTGTCAGGAGTCTTGAGAGCCAGCGGGGTGAAGTTCTGCAGCGGAGACTAGACAAGAAATCTAGGCAAAGCAGTAATAATTGTCCTATTAACTTAATTTGTGATTCTGTTGCTCCAGTACTGAATGTGAATTTTCATGTCTAGTGATTCAAAAAGAAAATTGTTCACGAGGCTGCTAATGGTGGAGCTAGTTTTCTTATATGACAGCGCATAGCTAGTCATTTAGCAACAGAAAAGCAAGACAAACCATTTGGGTTTTTTTGTTAAGGATTATCAGCTCATTAGAGTGTAACTTCTTTAGATTCTCAGAAATTTGAAAGAGAATTTGAAAAGAGATTTTGTACAAAATGCTATCCATTCAGGTTGGATACACCTGCTGGTGCAAGAGAAACTGGAGCATTTTGAATATGCAGAATTAAGTAGGCTTGAAAATGGTAGAATAAGAGAATTCATTTCATTCCTGAATATAAGCTGTTAGGTATGAATGGCGCGGGCCTTCCCCAATGACAGGATTTATGTGCTGCCCGGAACTGGGAAGTTCATCATAGTACAATATGATGTACATAGTACATAGTACAATCAGTCTTTTAACTGGGAATCCAGATGTCTCTGCAAAATACATAATAGCAGCTGTGCGGATTACACATACGTTTGTGTAATCATTTTTGTTAATCCACCTAAAACTTTGGCATTCACAACTCCTTCTTGAATAGGGAGCTCCCAAATTTGAGTACATCGTGGCTGTGTTGTGAGAGTTGCTTTTCATGGTAACATTTCGGATCAGCACAGCTCAGCAGTACGACAGACACCTCTACAGAGCACAGGGAACTGCTTGGATTGGCCTAATAATACAAAACGTGGGCTCTGCGTTATTTGGGTTCTCCATTGGTACATTTGCTTTGTCACTGACTGTTGGTGTAACACGGACAAACTGTTGCTGAGGTTTGTGTTTCCTCTTCTGCAAGATGCAGGCCCCGTCTTCCTCTCCCATAGAGATGTTCAGTCTGGAGGCTGGAAATGCATTTTGAAATTCTTTGAAGATAGCATAGTAGGGAAAATATTTTACTTTCTGCTAAAAGAAAAAAAAACATTAATTTTCTGCAATACCCAATATTTGCCTAACGTTCAAAAACTGGAACATTGAAACCACCAAGACCATCGCTGCTGATGGACTTGTATAAAAACAATCTGCCAAGAGGTGCTGTTTGTGGAAGGAAGTGGTTATTTAATATTAATCTTTTCCTGGCAGGTAGGAGGTGGTCATTCTGGCAGTCTGTTGCAAGACCAGGGGCCTTGCAGGGCTGTGGCTCCGCTCTACTGCGTCTTCTGGTTCTCTTGTTCTGAAAAAACTAGGCAGTTAAGCAGTCTTATTCAGCTCTTTTTGAGATAATTTGACTAAAGACTGGATTCAAGATTCCCTCAAGGCATGATAAATACAAGGTACAGCAAAAGTGGACAGACTGAACAATAAAACATCTGAGATCAATGATGAAGTATTTTTTTCTCTGAGAATATCAGGTACTTTGTTGTCTTGTGTACCGAGATTTGTAGGAGTCTTGATTTTGCTCAAAAAATAGAATCTATTCCCAAATCTTGATAGTCACTTGATAGTCACTTGTGGGAATGGCAGATAATAGCTCGGTGTTTCCAGCATTGACTTGCACATCTTTCTGAGCGAGACATGTCAGGACAGAGCTACTCTTCAGCTAAAAATGCTACACAGCTGCTCTACACTGTGAACACATTTTTCACCTGTTTGCTGTCATTTCTACGGTCGTGCTCTAAATCCAGGTGCTGGGGTTACAGGAAAGAGTCAGAATCAAAGTTTTCCTTCTGAAGTAATTGTTAGTGTGCTGATGTCTTTAAAATATTACATTCCTACAATTTTTTATAGTTATTCCAATTTTTTTTTCCTTCCACGTGATTTATTACCAGAAGTTTGTCTTCTACAATTTTTTGAACTTAATCCAGGATTGTTTGGATGTAAGGAACTGTTTCCAAACTATTCTTAATTCACACATTGTTGTCATACTGTCGCTTATTTTTTTCAGAGCAGAAGCTTGACTGCAACAAAATATTACTCTCTTGAGAAATTTGCTTTATTGCTTTATGTTTCATTTCTGTAGGTTTTTTTATTTTTGTACTGGAAAATACGCTTTTGCAGTGGTTTTTGTGTCAGAAAAATATCGCAGTACTACGATTTCTTCTCTTTGTTAAACAGTGAGAGGGTAGTGATTAAATTAGGAAGGCTTACACAAAAATTAATTATGCATCACATTTGCACTTCCAGATTTCTTTTCTTTTAAAAAATGAGATCCATAAAAATATAGGCATACTATGTTCTGGTATAGAAACACCCTTTTATTTTTCTGTGTATGGTGTTTAAATTCTAACACTAAATCCTTCTGGGTAATTAGATTGCTTTAAGGTTTTAGGAAGCCTGCTTGGAGACACTTCTGAATTATCCAGCTGATTCAGAAAATTAAGCTAATAATTCTACTAAGGCTTTTGTTCTGAAGTTAAGTGGTAACTACAATAGTCTGCAGTTACAAGCAATACGAAGTTTATAAGGAGATACATATTTATATATCTTTTGTTAGGTGCCATATTGCCTTGCCTATAGTCTCCTTATTTCTAGGACCATTTAGCAATTAGGCATTTTTCACGTGTGTTTCTATAGGGTGTTTCAAACACGTGCCTGCATTCTGCAGAGGTGTATTTGGAATTAGTATTTGCACAGTAAACAATAAAATACAGTTAGGTTTGAATGTTACTGCAGGATCAGTCCACGTGGTGTGGGAGTCATTTGGGATTACAGTCGAGTATATAAAGCTTTATATTTCAACCGTACGTGGTTTTGCCTTGTGGAAGGATGAACGGACTTGAACTGTCCTGGCCGGCCGGTGAGGATGGTGTCGCCGTTCCCTCCCTTTCCTGCTTGGCAGGGCCGGCGAGGCGGCACCCCGAGCCGTGTCCCGCGGCCCCCGCTCTGCCCAAGGCCGCCGTGTTTTGCTGCTTCTAAATTGGGAAGGAAACGAGTTCCTGTTAGAGATTCCCAGAGCTTTCACTATCAATACTGCAATAATTAACACATTGTTTAAGTCACGTTAGGTCACATTCGTGCTTCCTGCGTGGTGTCCTGGCTCGTCAGCAGTTAAGCTTGTCTTAGCTCATCTTCCTGTCAGCCTCCGCGCTTTGGGGTCAGGCCTTCGTCCGTCGGTATTACGGTGCAGTCCGCTCTGTTTCGACAGCACAGCCGTTCCTTCAGTTTTCATTGTAGACTAACCGAACAGCCCTGGTTTCACATGGCTTTGGAGGAGGGGTCGACAAGGTAATAGCCACCCCCTGTTAATTAGGCACTTACACCCAATATAGGCCTAGTGAAGAGAGGAAGGCCTGCCAGCTTTCCACCATGGCGTCTTTCAATGCGTGTGCGTTACAGAGGTACCAGCACACTGAACAGATCATTTGCAGTAAAGAGGTGTTTTTCCAGCTGTATTTTTTTTATGGCTGCTTGTCTTAAACATCTGTGTGAATTAAGATTAAAGTGCATCAAGAAGTGGGAATATACTCCATGTAATCCATCCCTGCGCGTGGCTGCTCTGCAGTGACGTTCTTAAAACTGCACCCACCATACTTGTTTTCTGGGTTTTGCATAATCTGGACCTTGCTGTTCTTGCCTTCCGCGCATTGCATACGCATCGGAGTTGTGACTTCCTTCCTAGTATATTTATGTTCCTTTTAATCATCTGTTGCAAATGCTGCTGGAGAGCTGAAGGGCAGCAGCGAGTGGCAGAACGCCTCGCTGTCACGTTCGTGCAGCTCTGCAGGGGGAGTTCAGCAGCGTGGGCAGGGTGTTACCAGTGTAGCTGCATTTAATGTATAGGTGAGGATAAAACTTTCTTTCCTTTGGGATTTTGTACATGATGTGACTCAGATTCTTGAGCGGCGTTCCGACAGCAGAATGTTCACCATGCAATCGTGGGAAATAGTGCGTATCCTTTACACTTCATGGGAATAGCTTTATTTTTTTCTGAGCTGGCCTAAAGCTTGTTAGCTTTAATGTATCTTTCATGTAAGTCTAGTGCAAACTCAGGTAAATATTTTTATAATATGCTGTAGTTGAAAGTCTTTAGAAGATAGTGGTGCTACCTGCATTTTTTAAGCCTTTGGCTTGTCATAGCTTTTTTTATTTTTGTATTGAAATGAGATAGCAAAATCTAAGATCTTGACACTGTAAGTGAAACATCAGAATATGTAGATTAGTACACAAATTGCTTTAGAAAATTATTGGCAAAAATCCTAGGAAAAATATCACATGTATTTTTCGTTTCCCTAAGTAGTACTTTGCTTATTGCCTGAGATGAACTCTTTGCTCCTTTCCTTCTAGGACTGTCCTTTTATAGTGTGTATGACCTATGCCTTCCACACCCCTGACAAACTCTGTTTCATTCTGGACCTGATGAATGGTAAGCAAGGCTCATGCAGATGATGATAATATTACAGAAATAGTGGCAGAAGGACTTGCTGAGATCATAAGGAGAATGAGGGAAAAATAATCTGAGGTGTGAAGCATCAGCCTGCGAGCAGGGAGGGGTAAATGGATCTAAAGCAGGGAATGTATAGAACAGACTGAAAAATCTCTGATACCTTATAACATTAACGTATTTAAATAAAGTTATCAAAGGGCCTGCTAGGCTGGAACCTTAAGGAAATGATGGTCACGTGGAGAAATGTATGAGGAGATCAGGGACACAGAATAAAAATAAAAAGGCTACTATAAAGAGCTCTGCAAAGAAAATAGATGGGGGAAGCATTCCTCAAAGGAAAGAAATTATACCTAGAAGCCTTATCATAAATCTTATGAGAACACAGAGGGAGAGAAATTGGCAGAGTTAAGAGAGAGAAGATACTGCAATGCCCTATTTGCTGAGGATGCTCAGCACTTGCAGGACTTAGACTGTAACTCTGGTGCTGTGGTAAGCACCTAAAGATGTTGGAGCATTTCTGCAGGTACCGTGGTGCAAAGCTGGAAGTTTAATTGAGAAGTAGAGCTCATATCCTGTAAGTAATAGAGACTGGCTTTGGTGTTTTGCAAGTGAAGATTCTCATTAAAATCTAAGCTGTAGGTCAAATTCAAGTAACTGGTTGATTATTTTAAATCTGTAGCTTGATCAGAAACAGTTTTCTAGGAATATTCACGATTTGATGTGTTGATGGTGTGGATTAGCTCACAAAGTGACATTGTATTGTGCCTGTTCTTTGATTAGGAAAGTGTGGAAACATCCCCAGCATGAATATTTGAATATTTTGGCCCAGATGACCTTTTGAGGTCCCTCCCAACCTGGGCTGTTCTGTATGCTAATTTATTCAGTTCTCCAGAAACCTATGTATGTGACTGCATTTTACTTGCTGTGGAAATCCTTCGTGTTAAGACTCAGTTGCTGGATTAGTCACTGAATGCAAATGTGTATGAAGTAAATGTATTTTTAAAATGGAGTTTCAGATTGATCAAATTTATTAACTTTCTCAGGTATTTTGTCACCACGTGTACTTGCAGAGTGTATGTCTGGGTTCCTGTATGCTTCACAGGTTATAAGAACCTACAAATGCTATGCTGTTCCCCCCTTACATCATGCTGGCTGCCTGCGAGGCAAGATTTTACTGTTCTTTCAATTGCATCTCAATCCTTCTAATTTTAGGAGGAGATTTGCACTACCACCTCTCCCAGCATGGAGTGTTTTCTGAAAAAGAAATGAGGTTTTATGCTACTGAAATCATCCTGGGTTTAGAACACATGCACAATCGCTTTGTTGTATACAGAGACCTAAAGGTAATCATTAATGTAGTGACTGCATTCGCACAGGTGGTCGTTAGATAGCAGCAAACAATCCAGAGATACCGATAAGTTAAATGAAGTATCTTATCTGAAACTTTTTCTTGGGAAGAATACAGATAATTTGTTTATCTTTGGCTGATTTTTCTAATAATTTTTCAACATAGTTATAATCTGTGCTATTATCTAGTTTAATCGGCCTGGGACATGCTTCCTTGGGGTCAGAATAAATCCTGTGCAGTGTTACTCATCTCACTTACCATCTTAATGATGCTGTTAATTTAGAGAGTGTACTAGATTTCTGAGAGCCCTGAAAGAGGAGTGTGTGTGATGGGGAGACTAATAGGAGGACAGTTGCTCGGGGGTGTTTCACTGATGGTTGGGAAGTGGAGGACTGCTCCGAGAGAGGTGCCATGAGCCAGGTGACAACAAAAGTGGGGAAAAAATCTGCAGAGAGAGCGCAGAGTGTAGATTGCAAGTAAAGGACGTAAGAGCCACACACAGACCCTTCTGTGAAAGAACCAAAAGCAATGTGGACTTGAGGCCAAAATGGATTTATTCTTTCATGTGCTTTCCATTTCAAACCTTGCCTGTTTTTTCTCTTCTGTTATTCGTCAGTATTTCATAGTCTCCTCTGGAGTTGATGGTAGTGCTCCGTTAGAACGTAGATTTTATCTAGAAAGTGCCTATTATATTGATGTTAAAAAAAAAAAAAAGGCAATTACCTATTACCAGAGAGTATTGATGTTTGAGACTGAGTTACTGTGTTCTGAGAATTTGTAGTTCTGTCAACTGAAAAACACCAAGCAGTAACCTTTCTGTGTCTATGCATTCCTAGCCTGCAAATATCTTGTTGGATGAACATGGGCACGTGAGGATATCAGACCTTGGGCTGGCTTGTGATTTCTCCAAAAAGAAGCCACATGCTAGTGTGTAAGTATTATGTATGGTAGCTTTGCTGTGCATATAATTATTGCTAAATAAGTCCTTTATGTGTCTTTATAATCTAATTTTGCCTAAAGGAAAAAAAATAACACTTGCGTGGTACAGGCTAGCTTTATAACACAGCTAAGCTGGATACTCTAATAAGGTTTTTCAGTCTCCTCTTTCTGTTTTCCTGCACAGTTGTAGCAGCTGATGTGTAGGCATGGCTGGAAGATGACACATTATTTCGAGATGATTCACTGTTCAGAGAAGATAAGAACCTGACTGAGTTAAAGTACCAGATTGTTTTAATTGTCCTAAATGGATAATTAAATATTCCGAAACTGACTAAAAAACAGGATTTATTGTGTCTTTCTCTTTCTGGATCTTTGTAGAACTGGAGGCAAATTGTGTTCCTTTCTGTCTCGTGGCATCAGGTCATAACTGGGGTCTGAATTTCTTGGGTTCTGTGTGGATTCCACATCTTATCTGTCACGTTTTATTCTTAGGTCCTCATTTGCCCTGATTTAGTCTCAGAATTTATGCAAAAAGGAAAGCTTCATCCTGTGATGTCTTAAGAGTTGCAATTCAGTAGCTTCTTGAAAAAGTTCATGCGTTCCAATTACGTCAAGGGTAAAAGCAGTACATGGTGACTGCTTTCTAGAGCTGACCAGCGATGACTTCTGGGGGAGGTGTCCTGTTGTTAAATCTAGCACAAAGGTGTTAGCTGGAAGGAGACATGTGAAACACATCGAGAGAGCACAAGCCAGCTCTGCTCGTCCCGTTTCTGGGGTTGTGGATAAGAGCAGGTCTCAGTCTTGCAGGGCCCGGGGCTGGGGTGATCTGGCCTGAAATATCAGGAGCCCTGACTGTGTCCTGATGTCTGCCTTTCCTGTAAACTGAGTGAACAGAGTACACAACTCTTCCACTTCTCTTTTGTGTTCCACTCTTAGACAGAAGGCTACTTACTGACCCCTGTACTGATTCTGCTAAATCTTGCTGTAGCTGCTTCAGTTTGCCTAATCATTTCTGTTGTTCTGTTGTTTGTTTGAAGGTATTTCCTCAGTAGATACATACAAACAGAAAACATGTATGTATGTATGGTCAAAGAAAAAGCAAAATAAAATCATGTTTAAAATTGATTATTTTTAAATTAGGCTATCTTATTGAGAAAACACTGATTTTATTTATTTTTTTTTTTTTACAATGATAGTTTTGGTTGTAATCAAGGTTTTGTCCCTTTCTGCTTCTCAGAGGTACCCATGGATACATGGCTCCAGAGGTGCTCCAGAAGGGAACAGCATACGATAGCAGTGCAGACTGGTTCTCGTTAGGCTGCATGCTTTTCAAACTTCTGAGAGGGTGAGTGAAGTTTTATGTTCCGTGTGCCTTTTTTTTTTTAGCCTGGGCCTCGTCATTGTCTGTCACTTGAAATACTAATATGTAATGTATTACATATTATCTAAAATGATATCTTACTGCCATATCTGCAACTTAGACCACATCTGCACGTGAGACTAAAACAGGCTTTTTTTGCTTCCAAAACAAAAAAACCACAAGCCCTGCTTCCCTTAGTAGGTACAGGTGTGGGGCAGTGAGGAAGGCAGATGCTCTGTCCACTCTTTTGACTTCTACTGATAGGCAATTTACTCATCTCTTGGCAATTGTTGGTATTTTAAATGATATGACGTTATTCATTGCTTAAATACACTAGCAGCCCTGTTAAGTTACGGACTTCATTTTATGCTTAAGGCCTGCTGTTATGCTGAAAGTCTTTGCTGCATTGTTGCCTTTTTACATGATACTCAGTCTTTCCTTCTGCAGTGTTTGCGTAAGTTGTAATGTGTGGATGCTTCCATTTGCTGAATCTGGCCTGTTACCATACTGGTGTACAAAAGTATATGATAATTACAGCTTTGTCAACTATTACCTTCTCAGTAAACCTATGTGGCTATGTAGAATTTATTAAGACTAAGGGATTTATCTGAACAGTCAATAGGCACTGATCGGCAAGTGATTGTTGAAAATAGCATCCTCGGTGTTAATAGCAAAACAGAAAAAATCTTTTAAGCTTTTCAGAGTGCTTCTCTGTAAAGATTGATCATTAGTTAGATCATCCTATGTCCTCGCGCATAATTAATTATAAGCTCTTACCTCTATCCCAGACACTGTACAAAGGAAGGTAAGTGTGTGACTTCTGAATTGAAGTACAGAGCTGTATTAATTTAACATTAGTTGTTCACAAAATAGACTAAATGTAAGTGTGCAAATAAAGAAAGAAATGGTGTTTAAACTGTAAAAAAAAAAAAAAAAAGTATTTCTAAGTATGGACAGCATCACACAGCTGTGAGCAGTACTCCGTCTCTCTAATCACTCATTGAAGAATTCTGTAGGTAGAAAGACACACAACAGTTTAGGTTTGCCAGGAGGAGGAGGAGAGTGTCTTTCACACGCAGGACCGCTGTGGACTCCTTGTCTTTTCTTTTGAGACCTTTACCTTTTGAGTCACTTGGGCACAGAGGATTAGGGCATCCGACTGACTCTGGAGTGGTTCTTCCTTCACAGGAATGAAGTTTTGTGATGAAGGAGCTAGCACCTAGGGGCAAATGGTCCCATTTACCATGGAAACTCACGGGGAGATCTCAGTGTTTGTGGGCTGTGATTCTTCCTGACAGAGATGTGCGGGGTGGTATCGGTGGTCGGCCAGAAGCCAAAGCATTATTCATTGTGAACTATCCTTCCTCATCTGTTCTGAAGCCAATTAAACAACTCACGTCCCAAAACAAGGGTTGGGCACATGGTGTCATTTCTTGGTGTTTAGTAAATTTAGTCTGGCATAAAATCTGCCCATAAGTCCACAGTGAATCATTTGCTTCCCTGATCTACTCGGCCTCATTGTCAAAGTATATGAGGCTGTATGTTGGCCATTTACTCTTGCCTTCTTGCCTATCATGCTTAAAAACAGAAAAATGGAAGTCCTGGTCTGTCCATCAGATCCATTCATCAGAAACGTTTCTGAGGATAAAAGTGAAATAACTCTTGAGTAGCAAGTCCCCAGATGAAACAAGCTATTACACACTGCCATGTGGCAAGACAAAATGCTTTATAATAGCTAATTAATGTATGATAAGTAAATAACATCTTCATTTTGAAAAATACCATTCCTTCAAGGTTTTGAAGAAAACTAAGAAACAGGGAATATATCCTAAATCTAACAAAAAAAATCTCATACTAAAATGTTTCTGCTTTCTTTCATGCTGTAGTTTAAGTACTGCATGGTAAATCTGTAATATTCTAAGGTCTTCTGTAGCTTGGGGTTGGAACTAGATGATCTTTAAGGTCCCTTCCAACCCAAACCATTCTATGATTATTCTATGATAAAAGGAAAAATTCAAACTCAGAACAGAATTACAAAGCAGGAAAGGGATAAAGACGATAATGTACCAGATATCATCAAATATCTTCCCAGTCACTAATGTTGTGGTATCTGCGATTATCTTCTGTTTCATCTACTTACTTTAAGATCTTGCTTCATTCTTCCCATATAGATGAGTGGTAAGTTCTGTAGGTCGTACTCAGTTTCCGTATATAGATCAATGCTTTTTAATATCTGTGTTGTGATAGCTGTTCGGGGTTTTCTTGTTAGATGAAACAGTTCTGGGTTTTGGGAGACATAGATGTAATTGGTAAGGCATTTGAACCACTGTCTTTAAGGATGGATCAGTGCCTTTAAGAATAAACTAACCCTCTGCAAGCCTTTATATGGAGTAACTAGATCAGATTTCCCCGAGTTTGATAACCCTCAGGGATGTCCGTGTGTAGTCTTTAAAGAAATCTAATGGTTGCTTTTCTCTGAATTTGATTTTGATGTCCACCACATGCAATTGCACTGAAAACAAAAAGGATAAACTTTCTTGCAAAGTGGTGCAGCTCTCTGTAATAAGAAAAGAAAACAAAGTTGTAAGAGATCAGACATTGATATTTTTGAGGTAGCTAGTAGCCACGGTATGCTAGTGTGTGAAGTCTTATTTTTTGTTGTTAAATGCTAAATGTTTTACTACTTGTTTTATTGTTCTGCAGGACAGGATTGATGAGGTGGAAGAATGGGACTAAAAGGATGCTACAGTCTTTCCTGGGGTTGCCACAGCTGAAATAACCTGATATATTATGGCTTTACATTTATCAGTGCATTTTCTTATTTCTACAGTCACAGTCCTTTCAGACAGCACAAAACCAAAGATAAGCATGAGATCGACCGGATGACGCTCACCGTGGTAAGGAGCCTGGTGACAGTTGCAGTTACATTCCTCTTGTTTAGTAAACTCCCATTTTCTCTAAAAACTGGAACTATATAGCCTGCTTTCTGAGAAAGCTGTATTTACACATGGAAGAGTTGTTTACAAACACCATCAAAGAAAAGCTACTCTCCTATGTGGGGAAAGCAGATCACACTACTTCTATAATTAAATGGCTCTTTTTGTACGTCTTTTTTTCATAGAATGTGGAGCTACCAGATTCATTTTCCCCTGAACTGAAGTCCCTTTTGGAAGGGCTCCTGCAACGAGATGTTAGCAAGAGACTTGGATGCCAGGGAAGAAGGTAGGTGTTGTCTTCTCCTTGGACCACTGTCTTTAAAAATTTCCTCTTCTCTGTAAATGAAAGAATTCATTTCAAGTAAAAATCTGCTTCCTGTTGTGATGATTTTAATTTTGGAAAGAGAACTTTAAAAAGTGCTGTTACGTGGAATTACATTTCAGCTTCCTTTGGTTTGGACAAATTTTTGGACTGTTTCTGTCATTAGAGACTTCCCCCGAGTTCTCTGCAGTCGTGCTTACGTTGGATGGTGTTCGTACTTTTCATCCCTGTGTTATTTTTATGTTTTTGCCTGATCTGTTTTGGCATGAAGTCATATTACTTGATTCAGACATACTGATAGCTAAAACTTATTGCTTATATTGTAGCTGTAACAATATGAGCATATTACACACACAAAACCCCAACCCCCAAACCACCATGCACAGAAAGCTGGGAATACTTGCTTCATTTTGGGTTGCCTCTATTTCCAGATGTACCCATTTCATTTCATGATTCTAAGGAAAAGGGCATTTTTTTTTGTTTATTGACTACAAAACACTACTTGCTCCTGCCAAGCTTACCCTGCTTATAGCTGTTAAATGAAATTGTTATCACCTATTTAAAAAACCAGTGTGTGCCTTGTGTGAGACTAGGAGAGAAAACTGAGAGGAGTAAACTGTTGAGAAGCCCTTGGCAATGTGTGATACCTGTTAATTGATAGTCACACCTGAGACTGGGGCTGGCTCTAATTCCAGTGCAATATTCAGAGGGTTTTTGATCATGTAGACCTCTGTGAAAATGACCTGAGATTGCTTTTCAGCCTTGGGCCTATCAAGAGTAGTTGCTTATTTTGCCATAAAATTTATATAATATCAAATGGAGTGGAGTAGGCTTGTTACTTAGAAGTGGTGTATGGGATCTGACAACAGACAAGTATTGTTTGTTGTTTGAAATGATGGAATACCATAGCAAAACAAGAGTGATTGCTTGCCAGACCTACAGCACTATTTCCACATGAAAGTCTTCTCTTCTGTTGTTTACTTAGGAAGAAATTTTTTTTCTTTAAAAAAAGAGCATTTTACCAATGTTTTCAAGTGATAGAAATGTGACCTTTGAAGGCTTTATATTTCTCAAATACATTTGAAAAGCCCCTTCATTTTGTTGACTTCAGTTACTTTTATTTTGCAGTGCACAAGAAGTAAAAGAACATCCTTTCTTCAAAGGCATTGATTGGCAGCAAGTCTATTTACAAAAGGTAAAGGATTAAGATAGTAACCTTAGCTTACTTGGTAAAGCAGTAAAAAGAAAATAAACCTAAACAGGTAATGGACAGAAAACTTCAGGGTTTCAGCCCCTAGCACATGTACTCATTTGCACAAATATGTGGAGGATTGTGGATGAAAACTGCTGTATATTCGTTACTGTAAGTCTTCCTGATCGGTAGTACTGAATTATTACTTTTTCAGGGTCAAATGACTGCATGGTTTCTTCTGCTTAGCTGTCTCTAAGCTGTAGGTTTTTTCCCTGAATTTTTGGAGGACCGTTTATTAAAGGAGTGGAGAACTTCTTCGCACTGAAGTTTAGTTTCAAGGGACATACTTTTGCACAGTCATGTGTAATTTGTGCAAAAAATAAAAAGGCTGTATATATCTACAGGATGGATTTAAATAATGTCCATTAATTTGTCTTTAATTATGCTGCTTTTAATTTCTAGTATCCTCCACCATTGATTCCTCCCAGGGGAGAAGTAAATGCAGCAGATGCTTTTGATATTGGGTCATTTGATGAAGAGGACACTAAAGGCATTAAGGTATACAACTTTAAATGATAGGTAGAGAATGGCACTGTGACTGCTGTGCTTAACTTTTCATGTGTGCGTGCCATTCTTTGCTTCAGGGGCTACTGAATGTACAAGGAGTTGCTTTCAAGTTTGGAAACTAAATCCGTGCTGTTATGAAAGAGGTAGCTTGGGCTGGTTGGCTGGTTTGTTGTTGCTTGCCAAGTCCTTATGTTTTATTTTTTAGATTGACTGAAATCTACCTTCCTATCAAAAGTTTTATATGATAAAGCAAATATTTCAAATTGTCAGACAACTTTTGGGAAATCCTCAGATTTTCAAGAATACTTAATGGCTTGTAGTTTTAGAAGTTGTAATTTGTTTCTGGTAGCTTGGATGAATTGAACTAAACCTTATTTTAATAGTATTACCTCATGGTCAGAGAGTGCATTGGAAAACTCTTACAAATGACGAACTGTATATTAATGGTAGCAACTCTGTAAGTTAGAAAAGTGATAAAAGAAACTTTCAGGTTCTGATATTATCCAAAATCTAATGAAAACAAAATGAGAAGTTGAAGCTGCTGGCCCATTTCTGACTTGCATGGAGGTGGTGTGACATACCCTGCGTATTCATCCCCTCTTCTGAAGCCTCCCCGGTACTTTGAGACAATAGGTGAATCAGCGCTTGTCTTGGGTTTGTCCCGTTCATACATTTCTTCAGTAGATCAAACTTTATTCTTGTTATTACAGAAGTGAGTCAGGAGAGAAACTAATTGCTCTAAACTTCATAAGCAAAAAAACATGTTAAGTACTCACTGTGCCTAAAAGGAACTTGTCTGTCAGTGTCACCTGCTGTAATTACAGAAGTTGGCACAGAAAAGATTTTACGTGTTTAAAGAGAAATGCAGAGAACCCAAGATGTTCTTTATCCCAGAAAACTCCACATCTTCAGCGTCAGTGTTGGTCTAACAAGAGTCCAATTTCCTGCAGTTCTGGAATGCCATAATTTGGAGGAACATTTTGCAAGGAGAAACCAGGTGGTCTTTTTATTTATTGAAGGGATCAGATGTTCTCAGCAAGGCCTGTAAATTGTATAGCCAGACCGCTTCCATGTAATCTTTGTTCAGGCTGCCTATAAGATAAATTTATTCTTAGTCATGAGTCAGTGAGGGATATCATGTACAGCTTCTTTGCTCTGCACTTTCACTGGGACGTCACAGTCTTGTAGAAGGGACTGAATAATTCGTGCCTCTGAGTCAGCTGCAGTCGGAGCTTCCATTAACATGTCAGGAGCCATCTCTGCTCGTGAGGATGCGAGTTTTGAGTGCCTTGCTCTCCTCCGTTGCCCCTGCGGATTATATTTATACTGCAGAGTGTCCTGTGACACCGAGAAGAACACGTGTTCTTTGAGGTTACAAACTGGAAAGCCAACTGGATGCCTGTGGCTTTCCCCTCTTACTCGGATGCCATGGCGAGCCCCTGTAAGCCACTTGTGCAGAAGTGCAGAGATGTCTTCTGGCTTCAGATCCAGCGTGTGTTTTCCTGCTGTGATACGGCTACGGATCTCTGAAAAGGAGGAGAATATCGATTCTGGGAGCGTCTGGTCTGGCTGCAGAAGGAGAATTGAGCAAGGCTTTCCTATCCTGCTCCTGTAACTGCTGTGTGCTGCAGCAGCGGCTGGAGTCACTGGGTTTGCTCCGAGCAGCGGTGTGTGTGCGTGCCCTTCGGTCCGGATCTGCCTTCCCCTGGCACTCTGCTGCAGCAAGGACCGGACCCAGCCCTGCCCGCTGTCAGACAGTGCAGTCTAGTGGGCTTACTGCGTTCTTAACACGGCAAAGGATGCCTCTTTGTCTTGCTCTCTGAAAGAAAGATCTAGTTTCTCTACTGATTGACAGAAACTGAAGCAACTGAGGAGTGGCTGTAAAGAGTTTAAACTCATCCCCAAATGAAAACCTTTAATAAAGTTACAGGGAAAACACTGATCGCTTTTTCTACTGCATCAAAGTGCCTTGTGGCTAAACCCAGAATATGGCTGCGTCAAGCAACAAACAGTCCTTCCTGAAGATCCAGTAATTTTAGTTTCCTTCGGTATAATTCAAGTACTGTAGTTAAGGATTAGGGGAGAAAAGAATCTATATAACAGGAAAATTGAGGTCTGCAGCATGCACTGCTGACTTTTGAAGGTTAATTATTAAGAATGTAAAATTAAGCTGTGGAAGCATGGAAGGCATCGTTGTGTAAAAGGTATCTTTCCATTTATTCACGGAATTTTTGTGCTGAGAAAGTTTTTAACACAATTAGACATTTTGTTAACACTGATTATGCAACAAAGTAAGGCTTTTAGAGCTATTAAACCAAACAAGTTTTGAACAGGTGGCCTGTTCTCTGTATATAACTGAATATCTTTGCTTAAATTAGTATCTGTGTTTTCTTTTGTTTGCACCTGTTTGTTCTGGTAAGGTTAAAGTTCAATATATCTTTTAAAATAATACTGTTATATGGGTAACTATTAACTATTGGGGATAAGAACAGTAAAAGTTATTAAAATGTTGGGTATTTGTGTTGTTTTTCTCTTGCAAGTTGCTCGATAGTGACCAGGAATTATATAAGAACTTCCCTCTGGTAATATCGGAGCGTTGGCAGCAAGAAGTAGCAGAAACTGTTTATGATGCAGTAAATGCAGACACAGATAAAATTGAGGCCAGAAAAAGGGCTAAAAATAAGCAGCTTGGCCACGAGGAAGGTAATCTGTCAAATACACTTCTCTCCATCTTTTGCTGCTAGATAGTAATTCATGTGTTTGAAGTTCCACACAACAGACTCTCATATTACTGTCATTCACCAGTAATTGTTAGAATTCATTTAGTCAGTATCATGTTTCTTAAGACGTTTCTTAATGTTTTGAAATGCTGTACAATGACATAATGTTTTGGAAAATCTTTTGTACTCTCTTTTAAAGATTATCATGTACAGCCTTTCATCGTTTTTGTTTATGGTGTATGCTCAGAAAAGAGTATGTGGGATTTGATTTCATGACAGAGAAGCCGGGAGAGAAAACAGGACGTCCTTTACAGCAAACTTCACTTGTTTGCACGACAATGTTGCATCACAAACTCTGAACTTTGGATAGCAATATACAATTCTTTTAATAGTTAATAAGATACTTTTTTAAGAACCAAATTCTGTTCTTGGTTACTCCACGGCAGCCACATCAGCTCATGTAATTAAGGCAGAATTGGCTCTGTGCGTGCCTGTGCACATAGAAGCACTATTGCAAGCCTGGTGAGAGCACATTGAGTCACAGTGTGTTCAGGACTGTGTCCTTTCTCAACATAGCACATTTGCAGAATGCTTTTAGGCAGTACCTTGTTTTGCATACTAATGTTTCCTCTTGTTATAGATTATGCACTTGGGAAGGATTGTATTATGCATGGATACATGCTGAAATTGGGGAACCCATTCTTGACTCAGTGGCAGCGCCGTTACTTTTACCTCTTCCCCAACCGACTTGAATGGCGAGGAGAAGGAGAGTCACGGGTGAGTGAGGTTACTCTAGAGAGCAGCTGCTTCCAAGGGCATGAAAGGCAGGTGGATGCTGAGGGAGATGTGAGAACTCATACTCGGGCATACCTCCCATGGAAGTAGAGTTTTGTCCGAGCAAATGACCAGTGGATTTGAGTAACTTATCTTGAGTATCGCTTTAGTTAATGGGTAGCTACGCTGCACTGAGGAAACATAAAGTTGACTTGAGAAAGCTGTTTACTTTGTTTTGTTATGTTTTTAAAGGAATTTGGTAGTTCATGGTGTTGTTTTTCATTTAGGGCCTCTGGACTATTTATACAAAAAAACATAAACTGGTAAGGTCATAAAAGCTATAGCATTTTATTTCAAAGAAAATGCTATAGTAACTTTAGTTTAGTCCAGCTGTGGTCATGTGCTAGGCAGATCATTTGTATATTTAGTTAAGTAAGGTTTTGGAATTTCAAACCATGGTTCTCCTCTTACAGCCTATAGGGAAACCTTTTCTGCAAACTGTTGTGTATGTTTGCTTCTTTGTAAGTATATAGTGCTTAAATATTCCCTTTCAGCTCTTTGAAATAGTAAGATTGTCTTTTTTTTTTAAAAAACAGCAGTAATACTTGGAAAATATATAAAATTATATGCAACACTTGTGGGAAAATAATGAATATTTTGTTTGTAGACACACCTATTTGTAGATTCTTATTTCACGCTGTCATTACTGGCTTTCTTAGTTTATGTTTCGTTGTCTCTGTTGAAGCAACCAAGCTCCTTGCTAAACCACTCTCTTACCTTACAATCTTATCTTTAGTTCATGACCCAGTCTTCAGAAATCAAGAAATGTTTGTGTAATGACTGTTAATGTTCATAACTTGATTTATGTGGGTAGTCCAGACAAATGAGATAGTGGCTTTATTTGATGGGCAACAGATTTTTTTCGAATCATCTGCTTTATTTTTGCAAATGCTACAGCAAAACCTACTGACAATGGAACAAATAGTCTCTGTTGAAGAAACACAAATCAAAGATAAGAAATGCATCTTACTGAGAATTAAAGGAGGAAAACAGTTTGTCCTACAGTGTGAGGTGAGACGCTTGTTTTTCAATAACTGTTAATCAGATTGTTTTACATATGATAAAACAATTGAAAAGTTTTTCAGGTCCTCCCATTATGTATTAACTAAGTGTACTTTACAAAGCAAAGCTGAACCTAAGCAAAACTGGGAAGTTTTTATCACACTTGAATTTTGAAAGCAGGAAGGCTGCAGCTATGCCAGTTTCTGGCCTGGATTTCAATGGTTTTTGGGCCAAAATGAGTTCAGTTTAATAAATAGCTAAAAACTTCAAAACTTCTCGACCTACGTGGGCTTCGAAGGCCTTGTTGGCACGTGTCTCACCGCAGTTAGTTCGTGGTAGCTAATGTGTTTGTGAGGGAGGAAGTACACAAGTCCTCGTTACGTCTTGACCGGCTGTAGTTGCTGCTGCCTTGCCTGGCTTCGCCGGGGTGACAGAGAAGCAAAGGGCAGCACATTTTCAATATCCAAAGTTACTCATTCCTTTGGAAAATTAAAATAAGTTGCTTAAAAGTGCTATCTAAGAGAGAAGATGCTATTGGCAGTTAACTATGAAGTGCCAAACTACTTCTGTATCTCTTTCAGAGTGACCCGGAATTTGTTCAGTGGAAAAAAGAGCTGACAGAAGCTTTTACTGAGGCACAGAGGTTGCTGCGTCGGGCTCCAAAGTTTCTCAATAAATCTCGCTCAACAGTTGTAGAGCTTTCAAAACCACCACTCAGCCACAGGAATAGCAATGGTCTGTAGGAGAAACAGAGAACAAAGTTCACTTAGGGAAAGCTACGTTGTGAACATATTGAGTTTCACAGAATCCTTATGAATTACTTTGTGCAATCCTCAACGCGGGATGTGCTTAGAAGAGGAAGAATTAGATGTTTACAGCGTGGGATAATGTCAGAACTCTGTCTCTGGAGGTTGTGAAGACTGGAACAATGGCAAGTGAATTCATGCTCCTAGCAGTGGTGGAAATGATCAAGTGTAGAGGCTGCATATTGCTCCCACGCATTCCCGCACCCTGGCGGTGTCTAAAACGTGGTCCGTTACTCTAGAACTACTGATGGAAGGAAGATGCTGTTTTCTCTGCAATACCCTTGTTTGGTGCGTACCAAGCCTGGAGACTGAAATGGTTACTGCTGGCTAGGATCACACTTGGGTGTGCGATACCGACAAACCCCTCAACTGTGGAAGGAGCTGCAGACTTGCCATGTTGGATAACCTTTAATCTGTTGTGTTGCCATGTTCTTTCCGACCATTACTGCTGACTTTATAATAACCTTTCTCCATACTGCTGATGATCAACAGTGTGACTCTTATGCACTTCAAAGTACTGAATTCTAACTGTCCTGTGGTTTAAATGTTATTGCTACTTCATGGAAACATTGAACTCAAATTATTCACTTAGTTTGTTGTACTCAATAATAGTAGCTACCACCGTTTTGCTTCTTCTACGTATATGCAGTACTATAACTGACACAATAGAGTAATAATTGGTGAAGAGGAATTTATGGTAGCTTCATCTAGTGCTCTGTTGTATAAATTGACTATTTTAGCACAGTTTTTAAAGAGCAGATTCCTTTTGACAAGTTTACAGTGAACATAAAGACAGTTCTTTTCCATTTCAGGTCAACTGCACTTTTTAAAAATTAAAAAGAAATTATTCAAATCCAATGCATTCTAGTGCATGTACTGGGTTAAAATGTCTGGGTACCTCGGTACGTATTCTGGATCACTGTTCAGTTATGGGACTTGTAGATCCTTCTCTGTTGTACACAAAAACATTAAGCAAGTGTGTTCTCATAGCGTAGATATCCCAGACTTTCACTGTAGCTCAGCTCAGGAGGTTCGTGCACACATCACACGGCTCGGCTTGCAAAAGGATTTTTAATTTTCTTTTCTAGAGAGTTCAAACTGTCCACATTGAAAACAGTCTGAGAATACTGAGGATGGAACTGACAAAACGAGCTGATCAAATGCCAGATTTATATTAATACTACTTGAGACATCAGTCGTGTCATGTGGAAACTCTTGCTAAAGTAAAGATAATCTCTTAACTGTTAGACAACTTTAAGCATGTGAAGTCAGCCTTTCCCTGGTTATTGTGATGTTTTGTAAGAGATAGGTCAGGGCTTAATTTAAGCTTTTTTCTGATTCAGTAATCACCTTAGAGAACATTTTCTGCCTAATTACGGTCGTGCAACTCTCATGGTCCCAAAAGACGATGGGAATTGCATCTCCGTAAATGGGAACAGAAGTTACACCAACAGCTTACTCTGTCCACCTGGTGTGCACGGTTTGTTTAGCTTGTGTTGCTAACAGATAACCACAGAGTTCTAGAGCTGTTCCCTTGTAGGAAAGTACAAATTGGCAAAAATAGGAGAATTATTTTGAAAGTATTTGTTTATCCTGAGCACACTTGTAATAAAATTGGATGTATTTGCTTCTAGAAGTGGGAGTGGCTTAACTCTGCATAGCATGTGCTTTCACACGTGTGCAAACTCTTATCATCTGGTGCAGCGTAAAAGGAAAAATGCATTTTGGAAGATACCCCGTGTGAGTCAGGTGATTCTTTTAGTGGGTTTTTTCCCCATTTATTTTTCAAATTACTCTGAAAAGAGTACCAACTTCTCTGTCGTTCTTACTGGTAAGTGATGTTTAGCACCTCAGCATCCTCTGTAAGGAGTAGTTGTGGTATTTACTGGTATGTCTCCTCTTCCTGGCGCTGACCGTGCACTGGATGTTGTTAAGCGTTTCCTACAATACCATGCAATGCTCTTATTTTTCTTCTTGATTTGAGAAAAAACCTCAGATTGTGATAAAACCCGCTCTTAGGTCTCATGTAACTTGTTCATACTTTCTTTGTTCATTATCAGTTCCATTCTTCTCTTTTAGTTATTTTCCACGGTTGCTTTTTATGCTAAATCCTTGTTGGCAGAGTTTTGCAGTTTCTGATGCAGCATACCATAGATTCCGGACGCTGGTGTCTGTGAGGAGGGGAGGGACAGACCTGTAATTGGGAAATTGTGCCTCAAAACCATAGATTTTATATGAAACAAAGGCTGTGTGTTGATTTACGGAAATACATGTCTTTTGAAGTGTAACGGAGTTGGGATGGCCCTAGAACATGCTCGTTAGCGTGGTCCTTATTGCCTTGTCCGGGTATGTGGCGATTTGAAACCAGCTGGCAGCTGAGCTGTGCCATCGGTCAGCACCGCTCACCAACGTCAGATGGGAGCGGGATAGTAAAAGATTTGTTCTTCTTTAGTCAGCTGATTTATCGGCAATTTATAAAAGCTTTATATTTGTGACTCACATACGACTGTGCTGTTAGGGGGGGGAGAGAGAGAGAGAGAGATTACCATAGCGAAAAACTTGCATATGCGTGGGGGAAGTTGGGATCCCAGTAACAAGATGGGGTTCTGCGTGGAAGGGACTGGATCTTCTGGTGTGGAGGGAGGGCTGGAATTCCACCCTTCAAAGCAAAATATTAGATACAGCTCCAAACTGATCATTCCTGGTGTAGGTACCAAATTCTCTGAAGTTTTTTCTTGGACAAAGGTTCTTGATGGTGTTATTTTACATGTCTTTAGCTGTATGTGTAGAAAATCTTGTTGAATGCAGAGAACATAAGGCATGGTGTTGTCTTTTACACATTTTGACCACATTTGTAGGACTTTTCTTTTTTTTCTTTTTTCTTTTTTTTTAATGTTCAGGGAAGTAAAGGTAAAAGAAATTAGAGCTTCAGGCATCAACAGAGCTGAGTGAATGATTAAACACAGATTTTTAAACAAATTATCTGAAAGTCCTTTAAAAAAAAAAAATCAGCCGTACTGAAGATTTAAGCATGTATGGGAACTGTTTCTTGTATTTCAAAATAGAGAATTATATGCCAGATAGAGCCATATTGAATGCTCCCCTGACACATCCACATGCCTTCAGTGCTGCAGGGATTATTGTCTAATTATTCTTTGTCTCTGACGTACAAGCTGACAAATGCAGTAAGACTAGATCCTGGAAAGTAAGCGCGTGAGTGACGTGATCGTAGAAAGATGTGCAATTTCTGCTGGAGCTGGACGGGGGGGGGGGCGGGGGGGGGGGGGGGGTTCACAGTGACTTTTAGGAGAGCTGCAGCTCTGTTCTGTGTGCTTTTCCTTTCCCTTTCCCTCCACTCTGAGGTAGGGTGGCATTTTTGATATGTGGGAGTTGCTGTAAATTAATGTCTTGTTTCAAGATAGGGATACAGCAAATTCTTGCCAAAATCAGACTTTTATGAGTTGAAATTTAAGTGCAGGAGAAGCAAAGCACCAGTTATTCCTGCTGCAAGCAGAGTGTGACTGAGGAACCGTTTGGAGCTGAGCACGAGCTTGGCCGGTGCTGTAAAGTGTTCCCTGGACACTGTGTCAGCTGAGATGTCCCATCATTGCAGGTATAAATGAGGCAATTTTTATTATTCAAATTTATTTGGTAATTATTTTGCAAATTCATGAAACTGTTAAAGGAACATTTACTAATTTTTTTTTTTTTAAATCCTTCATCTAACTGTAGGCTATCCAGTTTACTAAGTATAAAAGCTTCTTCATATTAGTTATGTTTGAGCTTTATGTCTTGTCACTGGTCCAGCAAAGTCTACAGCTGCAATCTCACGAGTTACTTCTCAAACCGCTGCTGTGAGATAAGCCTTGCTGGTGTAAATACTGGAGCTGATCCAACTTGCCTTGACGTTCCCGGTATGTTACCCCCCCGTTAGGCTTCAAAAACAAAGACTCCGAGCACGCTAATAATAGTTGGATGTGCGGATGGGGAAACCTGGCAGGTAGGGACAGCGCTGTGCTCGCTGTGCGAGGGTGGCAGCACACGGCTCCAGGAGATATACCTCAGCTTAGTCACATTTGAATTTTCCTTAATTTCAACAGCTCTCCTTTAGAAACGCAGCAGAAGTTTTTCTTCTCCCACTTTTGCGAGGGGGAAAAAAGGAAATAGGATCACCGGGTTGGTTTTGGTTTTAATATAAATGCAGGTGTTTGCAGTCCAGTGCATAGATAATAGGAAACGTTGTGTATTTGGTGCTAAAAACAAACCTGTTTATCCAAGTTGTGATCCTGTACAAGTGGATGCTCTTGATGTCCAGTAGAACTGCTCGGGGCGTTGATTTTGTGCGGCTGAGGTCAACGGCAGCGTTGCCACCACGAGTAGGATCAAGCCCCCGATGCGTGTGATGACTTGGACATTAACGTTTCGTAGGTTTACAGTCGCTGATGATAGTAAATTAGCTCACAAACGGTGAAATACCTGGAGCTCTGTGTGTTGCTCTTTTCCTGGCAGCTGATCAGTTTTAGGACTAGGTTCTTCTTTGGTATCACATACATATCTACATACTGCAGACGTTTGCAATCGCACACTGGTTTCACTGTTCCCCGCACGGCAGATGGCAATGATAAGTTAATTTAACTCTGAAATGCTCACACTCTAAATATATATGGAGGAAGGACTATTTTGAAGTGTACAGTAGAAAGTAAATAATTCTAGTTGTGTTGATTAATATAAGGAATGAGTCAGTTCTACAAATTAAAAAATCTGAAAGGCATATTTTGAAAAAGCATAGTATTAATTTTAATATTGTAAAAAAAAGGAAAATATCTAAAATATACAGAGAACATATGTATATCCAAATGTCTGAGGAATTTCAAGATAATCTACTTTTGTTTTCTGTTGATTTCTATTCCATGGTGTACATATTGTGTGGATTGAACATTGGTTTTTTTAATACTATTGTTAAATTGTATTTTTATTTTGTGTTAAACTAATCATCACAGTCTCAGCTTTATTTTGTTTATGTAAAGGTTGCTATGCTATGTAGGTATAAAACCAAGAATTCTATTTTAACAAAAAAGCATTTTATATTATTTATTAAATACATGTTTCTCCAACTTCTGACATTCCACAGAATTTCTGCTCCGTATATGTATAGAAATGGCAGGTCCTTTCAAGCAGGATCAGTCAGCTTTATTCTGTTTTTCATAATAAAGTCGAAATAGTTTCCGTCAGTCTGTCCAGCTTACCCTTCTGTTACAAGCATAGTGACTTCCAGGCACTGTCAGGACCATCTTGAAGTGCAGTGGCTCGTGAATGCAGAAACACCTGAAAAACTCTTGCAAATAAAACCCTCGGTTTGATATTTCTAAATTTCCCCTTTATTCCTCGGCATTCCAGAGAGCAAGCTTTTATTCACGTGAATCTGTGCTGGGTTAACGAGAATTAATGACTTTAAACTGGGGCAAGGAATCAGCCTGATACTTGAAAAAGCTCAGGCATCAGCTTAGATGTTTGCAAAGCTCTTTAATTCCAAGATTAATGAGCGAGTGGAAGGGAGAGCCCGGAGCGGCTGCAGAGTTTGAGTGCGTGGAGCAGGCCCGGTGCAGGTCTGCTCGGAGTGCTGCCTTATGTCGGGCTGGTTTGGGTTTAGAGCAGAGACGGGCTAACTGGCATCGATGATGGCAAAAATGTATGTACTGGAAATGATTTTTGCTGTTTCAGGGTGATTACTTGGTCCTTAAAAATAGGCTAGAGCCCGTGAAGACAGGAGAGGTGTCCTGCAGAGCCGGGTGGCCCGGGACTCTGCTCATTGCCTCTGTGCCGCAGCCGAGGAGGGGAGCGGGCACCCCCGGGACCCTGGCAGGGACCATCCCTCTGGGGGGTGTCGGGAAGGCGAGCCTGCGCTCCCTGAGCTGAAACCGCCTCATGAGCCAGCCCCTCGCTGCGAGGAACCGTGGGGCAGGCTCGGCCAGGCGGGGAGCGGGACTCGGCCACCCTGCCGCCCTCCGCGGCATGGGCTCGTTCTGCCTGCTAGAAGTGTTTGCTGGAGTGCTGCTACCGCTGGGCACATCTGTAGATAGCCAAACCAGGCACCTCCTTCCCGAGCAAGGTACAAAAATAGCACGAAATTCATCAGATAACTCACTTGCTAAAAATAATTCCAGTTGCAATCATGGCCTCTGCAGTTTGAGGAATGCTCAAGGTATTAAAGCACATGCTTTTAATTTCCACTGTGGTGGAGCTTGAAGTGCGTGCTCTTCAGGGCTTAACCGAATGACATCTCGAGGGTGAAATGTGGCTTTTGCCAGCCGTGCCACTGAAGCCGCCTCTTCTTGTTCGAGACACTGCCCAAAGCGGGGAGAGGGTGGCTGCTTTTCCCCTTGGAGTAGTTCTTGCCGTGTTTTCCATTTTCCCCTTCTCATGCCTGCCTGATCGTGTTTTCTTTCTGCGGCTGAGGAGTGAGCTGTAGCATTGAGCTGCTCTGCCCAAGAGCACCCGGAGGGAGGGAGAGGCCAGCGGTGGGTGTGAAACTCTGCCGGTGCCGGTGGGATCGCGGGTTCTTGGCATCACCCACCAAAAACGTGCCGTGATTGGGATAGTGCTGAGCCCAGTGCTGCGAACCTGACATGTGCCCAAGCAGGGATTCGTTACAAAACCTGGGGACAGGATCACAAAGCTGGTTGGTTGTCCAGGGTCAGGATTTATCCGGGTTTGTGTAACTCGCTGTACTGCCAGACTGCAAAAGGAGACAGACCAGGTGTAGCTACAGGCTTGCCTGGATGTGGGGCTGGGCAGAGGCTTTTCCGGCTGTAGCAGGCATCTTCTCCTTAAGGAAAGGGAGAGATCAGAGAGCAGGTGAGACGGCAAATAAAAATGAGTCTGAAAAACAGAATAAAGCGAGAGCATCCTAGGAGAGGTGTTTTTATGAGCACTGCTTCAGTGACTACATTTGGTCCTTTACAAAAAAAAAAAAAGGAGCAGATTCACATGAATAGCTACTAGTGATTTAAAGAAATATATTGAAAGAGAACCTGTTTTCAATGTGTAATTTAATGGTAAGAAAAGCCAGTATCTGTAAATAACTTTAGATATTGTATCTATGAGAATCATTCTTTGTTTTATGTACTTGGCTCTTTTCATATTTATTGTGCAGAGGAAGGTGTGCCCCGTGCCGGTGTATGCTGCTGCACGTTCCAGTAGTACTTCTCACAGAGACTATCTTCAGAGTTTACAGTCCTCGGCGATTTGTGACTGATGTGCCACACTTAGTTAATTCCGCCATTATTTTTTTAAAGGATTATTTTGGCACAGCTAAGCTGCTTCTGTGTGTTGGTCAGTACAACTGCTCTCATACGACGAGAACCCCAATAAAAACCGTCCTTTGTGTGTGTGCTGCCGCCTGGTTCTTTCGGTCTCGCCTGCTCCTTCCCGCGTGGCCGGCGAGGCTGTGCCGGGCTGCCTGCCGGGACAGGCAGCTGCCTGCGGGGTGCCGCTGGGCGAACCCCTGCACCCCCGTTTCCCTCGGCTGCTCTGTGCAGAGGTAAGTCCCTTCGCTTGCCGGAGAAGCCGTTGTTCACGTGCATGGTGTTTGTTCGTGCTTTTTCCACGGGTGGCTGCTGGGGGACGTGCCGGCTGCGTCCTGCGGATGGGACGGTGCCCGCTGCGGCGAGGAGGGCCCTGGGGGTGATCCTCAGCCTGGTGTGCTGGAGCAGCACAAAAAATGGCCCTGGCAGGGACTATGAGGTGTGTTATGGGTGATGAACAGTGGCTCTCCAAAAGTGCGGGAGGGACCCCGTTGCTCAGAGCCGAGGGGTGCCCCAGCAGCGAGCCCCGCACACAGCCAAGGCTCCCCTGAGGCTGCGGCGCTGTCGGAGACCATGCGAAGGATCATCTGAAACCGCGTGTCCTCATGCCGTTCCCGGCTGGAAACGGGGTGTGTTTTAACTGGTGTTGGTGAGACGCTTGGGGCAACCCTTGGTCTCGTGCCGGGCAACTACAGCCTAACGATCCTATTTCCTTTCTTATTAACAGAGCTTTTCCAGCTGTCGGTGCTGATGCCCTGGGCACGTCCGTGGACCTCTTCGGGGGAGATGGAGAGCGGCGGAGGGTGGGTTTCACCTTTGCGGCTGGGCTTGGCCTGATCCCGCATCCTGCACCCCTGGCTGGGTGTTGGATGCTGGTGGTGGTTGCACTGGGGTGGGTGGGACACAGGTCCTTCTGGTCCCCAGAGGGTCACCCTCTGCCCCGCAGGGTCACCCGATGGCCCCTCCATGTGCTTTGTCCCCAGCAGAGCTCTGCGGGGAGGTGAGGCTGGGGATGGCCGTGCCAAAAGCCCCCCAGGGCAGGCAGGGCCCCCCAGGCAGGCAGGGCTCCCCAGGCAGGCAGGGCTCCCCGAGCAGGCAGGGCTGCCTGCTCCCTCCCCACCTGCCCTGGCCGGGCTGCTGACCACGTTGGCGTTAGCGCCGTGGTGACTTTTTCTTTCCACCGACGGGAGGCTATTTTGAGCGCTGCTCTCAGGTCCCTCACCAGCTCGGCCCCCCCATTTCGGGGCTGGAGCCTGGTGGGGGGGAGCTGGGGTGCTCCGGGGAGCCCCGTGCCAGAGCTCCGACCCACAGTCCTGGGGGGACAGCCTGGGGTCCCCTCCAGCAGCGGAATGCCCTGGGCTGGCTCACATCAACCCGCAGCGGTTCCCCTGCTTCTGTGGGGTGCAGCCGTGCACCGAGGAGGGCACAAACACACGTGCCGGGGAGGGTGTGTGTGTGCCACACGCGTGTGCTGGGCGGTGCAGAGAGGCCAGGGGATGGGAGGGCCCTGCGGTGCCATTGCCTCTCCCCAGCCGAGGCCCCGGTGCCACTGCTGCGGGTATTTTTAGCAGTGACATGTGTCATCTCAGCTGCCGCCACGGCAGGGGGGTGGTGGGGGGAGGCGCACGCTGCCCCGCTGCCGCCGCTCGCCCGCACACCACCTTCGCTCTCCGGCTCGTGGGGGTCCCTCACCGGCAGCAGAGCCCGGTGCCGGCGTGGGCCATCAGCCCCCTGCGCCTGCAGCCCCCCAGCCAGGTACGGGCACTCTGGGGGGGGGCTTCATGGCGGGGGGTCGTGGTCAGGGCCTGAACAGAGTTTTTTGGGTGTGCTGGCAGCAAGGCCGTGGGCCCCTTGGCAGGGAGGGCTATTTTTAGGTGGGAACGGATGGCGATAGCGGCAGCCCCGGCTTCGGGGGCGGCTTCCAGCCACTGGTCTGTGCTGGGGAGAGGTGCACGGGAGGGCTGCAATGGGAGTGGGGACAGGAACGGGGACGGTGCTCCCTGCCCTGTGCAGGAGGGCGGCTAGGGACCCCTCAATGGCCTCAGCTCTTGGCACCCACTGGGATGGCAGCGGGTCCCGGGTGGCAGCAGGAGCGAGTCCCTGGCCGGCTCCTGTGTGGGGACCAGACCCACGTGGGCTGGGGGCCCAGTGGGGCTGGATCCTGCTCCTTGGGGGGGGGGGGGGGGGTTCCTTGGGTGGGGGGAGCCGGAGTGGTGGTGGTGGTGGTCCCCAGCCCTTGTTTGTGCCATGCTGCGTGCTTGGTTGAGGCACGTCCCCCTCCGTGCCTCAGTTTCCCCATGTGCAGAGCAGGACTGAGGATCCAGCTCTGGCTGGCGGGTGCAGGGTGGCCTGCCACAGGCACCCTCTGGGCTCAGGGCTCTGGCTGTGCCGTTCGGGGCCGGCTCTCCCCCGTGGCCACAGAGCCCTGCATGGGGGGACAGCATGGGGGCAGTGCCAGTCCCTGATGGGAGTGAGGGCACGTAGCGCCCGGGGCTGCTGCCCGAGAAGGCAAGTGACATTCCTCAGCCGGCTCCTGGCCGCTCCCGGCACTCCTGTCCTTTACTGTACAAGGAGATGCGGCTGCTGGCATGAGCGGCAGGGCCAGACGAGCCCCGACCCGCTCGGTGCATGAATGATCTCAACAGGTGAAGCCAGGGTCAGCCCAAAATGGGGCACAGGCGAGCTCCCACGGCCACCCTGTGCCACCCAGCCCAGAGTGGCGGGGTCCCAGCACCACCCTGGTGCCACCGACACCCTGTACCACCACCTCCCCACACCTCCTGGTCCCTCACCGTGCCATGCTGGGGGCTGGAGGTGGCTGGTCATGGCCGTGCTCTTCCCCAGCACTGCCAAACGACCCTCCATGCTGGACTGCCGCACTCCAGCCAGTGCTGCGAGCTCAGACTGGGGCAATGCCCAGCAAGGTCATGGTGCTGCTGGCCCCGGCATGGCCCCGGGGCCAGTGGGAGCCCCTGGCTAACTCTCTCCTCTCTCACAACCTCCTGTGCCCGGCGCGGCCCCACGGCTCTCTGTACAGCACCGTCCTGCCTCAGCACCAGTATGGCCATCTCCTCGCGCCTCGCACTCTGGGAGCAGAAGGAAAGTCTCGGTCTGGGGTGGCACCAGCGGTGTTTCGGGACTGGATGCTTGTGGGCTGCCCGGAGGACTCAGTGCCGGGCAGGGGGACACACCGCAGCCAGCCGGCCGCATGCCTCTGGGATTGGCATCCCCTTGCCTCCCTGTGCACACTGCTCCTGCTGTGTCTAACCCTGCTGGCTCCGGGCACCTTTGCAGCCTGAATGTTCTGGTTTGAGTGACTTTGCCGCTGTTCGGGGCACACGGTTCCCTGCAGGGCCGAGACTCGTAGGAGTCTGCAGGGCTTGGTGCTGGCGCTTCTGCGTGATGGCAGGGCTGGGAAAGCCCTTTGCTGTGGGAGCTGCGGGAAATGGGGCTGGGTTTTGGCTTGGGGCCCAGTATGCAGCAGGGTCTGCATGTGGCCGCAGTGATGCCAGGAACCGCTTCTTTACTCGCTGCAGCTGAGACGGTTCCTCCTGTGGCTGTGCTGGAGCTGCTGGGCATTGGGCAGAGCTGGCAGTGCACATGGGCTCCCTGCAGCACGTGGCCCTTGGTGGTGTGCAGAGACTGCAGGGCTTTTTTTTCTTGGTGCTTCTCTTCCTGCTCGCCACAGCATCCCTGAACAAGCCTGGTGCTTGTGAGCAGCCCGTGGCCTCGCCAGCAACCTGCAAGATGCCTGCAACCACGGCTGGCCTCATTGGCAGAGCAGGGCCCTGGTGCCTGGCTTTAACACTCATGCACACTCGTGCTGCTAACGTGCCCACGGGGCTGGCTTTGCCAGGGCTCCCGTCCCCGCACCGTGTCCCGTAACCCAGCTTCTGCTCCTGCAAACAGATACGGGACGAGGACCGGGGTCCGCCCCCGTCGGCCCCCCCCCTGCTCCTGTCGGTCATCCCCGGGGGATTCATCAAGCAGCTCGTGCGGGAGACTGAGAAGGAGGCCAAGGCGGCAAAACTGAAGAAGGAAACCAAGGCGAGCGTGAAAGAGGAGGTGAGCAGCGATAGACCCCACGCAGCACTGGGGTGTCCTGCCTTGGCGCTGGCTGGGTGTCCCCATCTGTCCCCAGCTCAAAGCGGTTCCCAGCCGAGGCAGCAGCCAGGGTTGCTGCGGTGCTGCCAGCCCCCACCTCGGAGGCCGAGGAGGCTGCAGGGCCCCGCGATGCCAGCCCCAGCCGGGAGCCTGAGCTTTTTTCTTTTGCACGAGCTGGGTTGGATGGCGAGGCCTGGGATCGCAGCATGCCATCGGCTGCAGCAAGCTGTGACCCTGGCCAGCCGCCAGCCTTGAGCAATTAATGCTGGAGACTTCATTAGTGCAACTTGCCATTCCTGACTTGCTTAATTGGAAGGCGAGCAATTAAGCAGAGCATGAGGCTCTCCGGTTCAGCTCACTGAGCACAGGAAGGGAAGTGCGTGGGGCATCCCCAGGCACGGCACCGAGTGGATGTGGCCAAGCAGGAGGGAGGAGGAGGAGGAGGAGAAGAAAGATGCCGCCACCAACTGCGACCTTGCAGCCAGGTCTGGGCAGGCACCTGCAGCCATCAGCTGTGCCCAGAGCGAGTGGGTCAGGGCTGGAGCTGTGTGTCCTGCCAGGCTGTGTTCCGCACGGGCATCCTGCACTGGGCTGAGGCTCCTGGGGCCGGGGCTGAGGTCAGGTCCTTTGCCCTGTCCCTGTCTGACCTGGCTCCTCTCCTTTGCTTGGCAGCCCGCAGGGGAGGACGGCGAGGCCCGAGCCAGGGACACCCCAGCTGCCGGAGGAGAGGTGGCCAGCGAGGGGCAGCCGCTGCAGAACGGGCTGCACGCGGAGGGGCAGGGGGGTGAGGGGGTTGTGGCCCCCCCACACAAGGAGCTGCCACCTGGGAGGGCTGCTCCGGGGGCCATCTCCAGCAAAGCCCCAGCGTCTGCGCCCGGCCCGGCAGCGGCTGCCCCCAAACCAGCGGAGATCCCTCACCCGGAGGCTCCCAAGGCAGCGAGGCTGTTGTGCCTGGAGAAGAGCCCCAAGAACCCCTGCCCGGAGGGCAGCCCCCCAGCTCCAGCCCCCACACCCAGCAAGGGCCCCCAGCGCTGCAGCAAAGTCCCAGCAAAGGACGGGGACGCGCCCAGGGGGATGGGCCCCGAGAGCACCGAGAAGGAGAAGGGGGCACCCCCAAGCCACGAGCAGCACCCAGACAAAGCGAGAGCCACGAGGGAGCTGGGACCAGCCAGGAAAGAGCCAGAAGAGATGAAGAAAGATGTCGGAGGTGGCAAGAAGGAGCCAAGGGAAATCAAAAAGCCTGGAAAAACTACAAACAAGTCAGAGGGGCCCAAGGGGGAGCCAGGAGGGATTCAAGAAAAGTCAGAAGATGTGGCAAAGGAGGTGGGGAAAGTGAAGGAAGAGCTGGGAGAGGGTAAAGAGACACCGGGAGAGAGCAAAGAGGAGACGGGTGAGAGCGCAGACAAGGACCAGGTAATGTGTCCACAGACCTGCCGGGCTGTTACCCCGTGTCTTGGCGGGCACCGATGCCATTTTCTGGTTCCATGCAGCTCTTCCCATTTGCGTGGGCTCAGCTGAGGGCTGGGGGAAGGTGCCCCTGGGGCCAGCCAGGAGGGCAGAGGAGGGACAGGGGTACTGGCTGGAAGCATTGCTTTCCATGGGGCAAGTGCAGTTTGTACAGCTCAGTTTTCCACCGGTTCCTGCATGATTCCCCTCTCTCCTCCCCACAGGCCCCGAGGGACGTTTGGTATGAAGCAGAGAAGGTCTGGCTTGTCCAGCAGGACGGATTCACACTCGGTAACTTGCCTTCCTCTGCTCTTGCTTTCCAGCGCCGAAGATAAGAGCTGTCTTCAGCCTGGCTGTGGGTCGGGAGCACGGTGGGCGCCGGGTGCTGTTCCGGCACCATGCCTGGCTGTGCCTCAGCAGGGCTGCGGTCGGAGGTGGCCCCTTGGCAGCTCCCCACGCTGCAGCCGGCTCTGCCCTGAGCTGCCTTGACCGTGCTGTGCAGGAGAGACTCATCATCCTCTCGTTGCAGCCACGCAGCTGAAGCCGGACGTGGGGACGCCCGAGCTGCCGGTGGGGAGGGTGAGGGTGCGCCGGGAGGCGGATGGCAGCATCACGGAGGTGGACGAGGACAGCGTGCAGCGGGTGAGCCCCCTCCTCGGTTTTGGCTGGCACAGGGGGGGGAGCCCTGCCCACAGCACCTGGTGGATGGCAGTGCCCAGGCAGGATTAGACCAGGGGCAGCCCCATTGCTCAGGCCATCATCCCGGACTGGATGGGTCCAGGGTACCGGGGTGCCGGTGGGCTCTGGCACAGCCCGTGCCACGATGGCAGAGCTCAAGGGGGCTCTGGCTCTCTTCCTGCAGACCAACCCCCCCAGCCTGGACTATGCTGAAGATCTGGCCGCACTCATCAACCTCAACGAGTGCAGCGCCATGAACACACTGCAGCAGCGCTACCAGTCCCGGCTCCCCTACACCTACGCCGGGACCAGCCTGGTGGCCATCGGGCCCAGCTTCCCTGCCAGCAGCAGCTCGGGGAAGGTGAGGCGGGGGGACCGTGGGGCGGCCGGGATCTTCCGTGGGAAGCGGTCACCGACCCCCGTGGGGACAGTGGCGGAGGGTGCCGGGCGCTGCGGTGCCGACAGATGGCACCGTGGGACCGTCACAGCGCACGGCTGGGACGCTCAGGGGATGCTCGGGGCAGGGGGATGCTCTGAGGACACTCAGGACCAGGGATGCTCGGGGCTGGGGAGGCTCAGGGCCAGGAAGGATAGAGGATAGGGATGCTTCGAAGATACTGACAGCCGGGGATGCTCTGGGGAATCCTCAGGGCTGGGGATGCTCTAAGGATACTCGGGGCTGGGGACACACGGGGCCAGGGATGCTCGCAGCTGGGCACCGCTCCTAGCACAGTTTTCCTGGTTTCCAGGAGAAAATCGCTGTGTTGATGTGACTGCACGCCCTGAGTGGACCGAGGGTGCCAGGGCTGGGGAGGGAATGGGCCTAGGGCGCAGTGCCTGGGGTGGTGCTTGGCAGAGCTCTTGCTCACAGGCAAGCCGGAGCAGGTCCTGCTGCAGGTTCCCTGGGTCAGTCCCCAACCCTCTCTCCGGTGCCGGTGCAGTGAGGCTAGGCTGGCTGGGCCGGGCAGCATTTCCCCTTTCCCTGGGAATCTCAGGGTGGGGGTCTGCACCCTGGGGAGAAACCATTGCCCTGAGTGTGACATGTCTTCAGGATTTCCTCTACAAGGAGAGAACCTCTAAGGGTTGTTTTGGGACATGCCCTCCCACTGTCCCTGCCCGCAGGCATTCAAGGGGAAGCGGGACAGCATGCCCCCGCACATCTACTCGGTGGTGCAGAGAGCCTACAGGAACCTGCTGATGCAGCGGCAGGATCAGGCCATCGTGCCCCTAGGTCGCAGTGGGGCTGGGAAGACCACGTGCTGCCAGAGAGCCCTGGAGTACCTGGTGGGCACAGCGGGCAGCATGGACGGCAGGGTCTCAGGTACGGGGTTGGGTGGCCACTGTGAGCTCTGAGCCCCGGCAGCGATGCACCAACCACTGGCAGTGGAGCTGCGGGGTGCCTGGTGCTGGGCAGAGTCAGCACACGGAGAGTGTCCGTGCAGGCTGGGGAGTGCATGCAAACGTGAAGGTGATGCTGTTTCCATCCAGTGGCCTCCATTTGACCCATTCCTGGTCTGATTCGTGCCCCGTTGGGGTGGCTCTGTGCGGCTGTGCAAGCACAGTACGGGCTGGTGGGGCCGCAGGGCTGCAGCCTGGGAGGCAGGTGAGCGGTGGGGCTGCGAGTGCCCTGCACTGTCTCAGACCCAACAGATTTGCTATTTTGATAAACACCCGAGTAAGCACCAGAAGGGAATTACTTGCGTGCTTGGGGCAGCACTTTTCCCATCTGATCAAGTTACTGGTGACGTGAGAGGAAGCGCTGTTAAGCAATCAGTAGCTTTAGAGAGCAGGTTTGGATTTTGGAGCGAGCTCTGGGTACACCATGCTCTTGCAAAGGGCTGACGTACGGCCTGGAGCAGGGTGGAGGTATGGGCAGGCTGGCACGTGCCCCTCCTGCCAACACACGTGCTCTCGTGGTGCGGGATGCTAACCCCATGCCCGGCCAGTGCCCCAGGTCCCCGTGTGCTGGGACAGACCCCCAGGAGGAGCAGGCAGAGGTGCAGCCAGGAGGAGAAGCCTCCTCCAGCATTTGTTTGCAGCCCTGAGGCTGTGCTGGTGCAGCAGCGGCACGGTCTGGCTCTCTCCTGGCGAGCGCCGGAGCGATGCAGGGCTACAGGCATCGCAGGGCAGCTCAGGGGGCTGCTGGTGCTGGTTTTGCAGTGGAGAAGATCCAGGCAATGTTCACAATCCTGGGAGCCTTTGGGTCAGTGACCACCAGCCACAGCAGCAGCTCCACGCGCTTCTCCATGGTCCTGTCGCTGGATTTCAGTGCCACCGGCCGGATAACCGCTGCTCACCTCCAGGTACGCTGCAGGCCCGCTCACCTGGTGAGATGGGAGGGCTGTGGCTGAAACCGGGCACCCTCGGGACGGGGACGAAGAGCCCCTGTGCCACTTCCCAGCCAGGCTGGGCACGACAGGAGCGATGCTCTGCTCTGCTTCTCCTCCTGGACCAAAGGTGCCCCCAGATCACAGCTGAGCAGGAGCTCTGTCAGCAGTGTGGCAGGGTCCCCCACAACCCACCACCCCCTCCCCTGGCAGGGAGCGCAGAACAGCACTGGAATGAAATGTTTATGAGGAAATGTATAATTCATCATTTCATTAGCAGCACCTTACACATCAGCCTTCAGCAGAAGCCTCTGAGGGCTTTTATCACCATCAGGGCTGTTATGCAAAGGCACTTTAATCAGAGCTGTCCGTGGCCCTGGGCCCCGTCTGATGAAGGAGAGGGCTTGAGCCGGCATGGGGAACACCAGGGCTTCCCGTAGCTGCCCCATTGCTGCCCCTCCTCTGCCCCAGGTACTGGCAGGGAGCTGATGGCCCGGCATGGCCGTCCTTGTGCAGGAGTGGGAACGTGCCCCTGGAAGCAATCACTCTCCGGACCACTAGTACCTTCCTGGGATGCTCATGGGAGGACAGAACAACTGGGGGGTCCCAGCTCTGCAGGGACTCATTCCTGGTGCCACTGCTGGCATTGAACAACCTTGGCAAGGCTGGAGGCAGATCTAGGCTTGTCTCAAGCCCAGGCAATGGCTTATCCATAGCTGGGTCACAGAGACTGTAGCATCTCTGCTAGGGCCATCACATTGCCCAGACCTCTGGAGGCAGGGAGGGACTGTGGGTTTTGCACCCACACGCTGTAATGTTGCCCCTTGATGCATGCCTGGGGCGCGATTTGGCTCTTGTTTGCACGCCCCGCAGCACACAGCCCCAGGCGGGAGGAGCAGCCTCCAAAGCCAGCCGTGGCCCTACAAGGAGAAATCCAGTCCCTCCTTGACAGCTCCCAGTAGCATCTCCCCGTCTCTTGGCTCTTGTTTGCACGCCCCGCAGCACACAGCCCCAGGCGGGAGGAGCAGCCTCCAAAGCCAGCCGTGGCCCTACAAGGAGAAATCCAGCCCCTCCTTGACAGCTCCCAGTATCATCTCCCCGTCTCTGGGTGCCGCTGTCCTCTCTCTTCCTGTGTGCCCGGCTTGCCTGGACACCCTGGCACACTGGCCACCCTGCCCGCGCCAAGGGGCTGTCCCCGCCTGCATGCCGGGGGCTGGGGGCTGCCGCTCATGCCTGCCTCTGCTCCCTCCCCCAGACCATGCTGCTGGAGAAGGGCCGCGTCGCCCAGCAGCCCCACGGCGAGAGCAGCTTCAACGTCTTCCCCCTGATGCTGGCGGGGCTGGATGCGGCACACAGGTGGGTGTGTGGCTCCCATGGCACCAGCTGGCTCCGCTCCTCGCCTGGCTGCTCAGCTGACGGGTACCCCCATCGCCAAGGGGCTACCCCGTGATTTATACCCAAGTTTGCTCCAGCAATGTGGTTTTTGAGACCTCTCTGATGAGAAAGTGATTGTGAGGGTGATCACGCTAGTGATGCTGCAGGGGTTCTTATACACTTATATATTAGAGATTTTCCAGGAAATGGGGGCATTTTCTGGTGCTTTTTTTGCCCCTTCGCTAAAACTGAAATTGGGCTGATCAAATGCGATAACGGTCCCTTTCCCTGCTTGCTTCTGGCTTTCCCCACAAGCTGCACATCCCCGGGCTGCCCCGGGCGAAGGGTCCTGGAGCGTCTGGTGCCAGTTCCGTCCCCCTGCCCGGGGCAGAGCCACGGGAGCCTTTCCCGATGAGGCCCCTTGGACATCGCTGTAAAGGCAAAGGGGGTCTGCAGGTGTTGGAGATGTTCCCTGAGGAGAGGGCAGGGTGTTTGGTGAGTGCTAGAGGCAGGAAGGAGCTTGAGTCTCATTTTCTGTAACTGCTTCCAGGACGACACTGCACTTGCACCAGGTGACTGAGAGCAACTCCTTTGGGATCAAGCCATTCACAAAGGTAGGGAAAAACACTGGAGCCATGCAGCCACCTGCAGTGGGGTGCTGCAGCGCACGGCCTTCATCACCCCTGGTTAGAGGACCTGTTGGGGTCTTCGGCTGCTGGGCAACTTGAGATGGTGCCGCCATACCGGGTGCATGGAGGGAGGGAGCGAATGTCAGGGTGTGAGGAAGGGTCTGCCCGAAAAGCCTCCAGCACCCCTCTGACAGCCCTGTGCCGTTGATGCCCCTTGGACATCGCTGTAAAGGCAAAGGGGGTCTGCAGGTGTTGGAGATGTTCCCTGAGGAGAGGGCAGGGTGTTTGGTAGAGGCAGGAGGCAGGAAGGAGCTTGAGTCTCATTTTCTGTAACTGCTTCCAGGACGACTTGCACCAGGCACCAGGTGACTGAGAGCAACTCCTTTGGGATCAAGCCATTCACAAAGGTAGGGAAAAACACTGGAGCCATGCAGCCACCTGCAGTGGGGTGCTGCAGCGCACGGCCTTCATCACCCCTGGTTAGAGGACCTGTTGGGGTCTTCGGCTGCTGGGCAACTTGAGATGGTGCCGCCATACCGGGTGCATGGAGGGAGGGAGCGAATGTCAGGGTGTGAGGAAGGGTCTGCCCGAAAAGCCTCCAGCACCCCTCTGACAGCCCTGTGGGAGCAGGGGACCTGCCGGGACCGGGGCCACTGATGCCTGGTGTCTGCGCTTGGGTTTCGGACACATCCCATCCACCCTGGGGAAGGAGCCTGCTGCTCCAGGGCCAACAACCCCTGACGTTTCCCTGCGGCAGCAGCTCCTTGGGGGTCGAGCACATCCTTTGGAGAGCCCAGAATGCAATTTTTATGGGCTAAAAGTACTGCATTTGATGTTGAGCACCAGCTCCTTATTAGTCTGAACCATGTGCAAAGATCAGGCAGACTGCCTATGAGCCAAAGCACTGGGATGAATCGCAGCAATTTGCAGTTACATCATCTATTGATGAATTCAATATTCGATCTTCATTAGGGAGCTCCTGCTCCGGTCTGGCGCCAAAGGAATCAGCTGTTTGAGCAGTGGCTCTTGTGGAGGGCACAGCGAGCTACTGCAGGTCCTCACCCTGCTGATGCAGCAGCAGATTTGGGTTCAGAGACGGGGTTTTACCCTCCTTTCGCTGCCCCCGATTCCTGTGGGTTCCCCATCCTAGCACAGAGGGTTTTCCTGCTGGGATGCAGAGGGTCAGCAGGAGCTGGGCAGCACTGGCCCCAGGCAGCACCTCTTCAGTTCAGGGAGTGCGAGCTCTGCAAAGGGGACAAGCACTGTCACCCCCACCACTTCTCCTCCTTCCCAGCGACACTCCCCATGGCGCACATGTAGAAAGCCGGGCTTGGCCATTCAGTTCAGCACGGCATGGCAGGGTTATCCGAGGAGCACCCAGGACGCTGGGGATGGGGGCGTGGAAGGATGAACCACCCAAAAGCTCCCCAGGGGGATGAAATCCTGTGCTGCAGCCTGGCCTGCTGAGGAGGGACATTGGTAGCGCTCCATTTGCCTGCTCTGAAACCAGCCCAGAAGGAAAGCCAGAGCGGTGGTGTGCTGTGTTTGGTTTGGGTTGGAGTTTGGGGAAATTTGTCAGATTTTCCTTTCCGAACAGTGCTCTGGATGCTGAGACTGAAAATCTAATTGGCGGCTTCCCAGCCTTCATCCCCGCAGCCGGTGGGGATGGATAACCCCTGCTGTGACACCGGTGTCACAAGTATTTGGGGTATTTGTTTGAGCCTGGAGAAATCGCAGACCTCAGCTGTGTTTTCTCATTAGTATCATAGAATCTTTTAGGCTGGAAAAGACCTTTAAGATCATCAAGTCCAACTGTTAACCCAGCACTGCCAAGTCCACCACTAAACCATGCAGCCACCCTGTGGGCCTCTGCAGGAGCTGGAATCCTTTAGACCAGGTGGGCTGGTCCTCGCCAAGACAGGGATGCTGCCTGCTGCAGCCTGCATGCGGTGTCTGGCCCCAGGGCTGCACGCGTCTGCACGAAACAGCCTCAGTTCAGGGGAAAAAAAGCCCCAATTTTTGCGGTGGGGCTGCATTCACAAAAAGAATTGCAGGACTCATGGATGGGGCTGCTGTGGTTGGAGGTGAGCAGATGAGGTCCCGCTGGTGGCTGGAAGCTGTTCAGCTGGCCCCAGCACACCTGTGGGCAGGTGCATTTAGTGAGAAGTGAGAAAATATAAAACGTCTATCTCTAGCTGCTGCTTAACGCCTCTGTAGACACTTCTGAAGTGGGAATTATGTGGTGTTGTACAACGAGAAGACATACCCAGGCTTGCTCCTAACACTAGGCTCTCGAGGAACCTGCCAGGGGCTTCTCCCCCTGCTGTCCAAACCGTTCCTAGGGTCCCTTATTGTCTTTTCCTTGCTGGCCACATGGTTTTCATATGCCCTTTTGCGTTCCCCCCCATGCGTATCCCTGTATCCCGCTGTCCCCAGAGCCTGGGATGCTCCGGCAGAGGCAGTGACGTTTGCCCTCCCATATCTTTCCACCTGCAGCCCGAGGAGAAGCAGAAAGCCTCAGCGGCGTTTGCCCAGCTCCGGGCTGCCATGGGCACGCTGGGCATCACGGTGGAGGAGCAGGCGGCCGTCTGGCGCATCTTAGCTGGCATCTACCACCTGGGAGCTGCCGGGGCCTGTAAAGGTAAGGGGGGCTCCTGCCTCTCCTTTCCTTATACCTCGTCTCAGTGCCGGGGGTTAGAGGAGGGTGAGAAAGCATGTCCCAGCGGTGTTCGGTGCTTGGGCGTGTTGCACACCAAGAAGTGTTGGGGAGCAATGTTCACCTGGAGGCTGTTGCACTGGCGCTTGCTCTGAGCTCTCCGTTGCACGCGGAGGAGCTGCCTCGAGCTGGGCGATGCTGCGTGCTGGCGTCCTGCCCCGCGGGGGCTTCTGGAGTGGGTCCGTCCCGCAGCCATGGGTGGACAGGACAGGGGCTGCAAGGCGTCGCCTTGTGCCAGCTCTTTGGAAAGGACCGGGGTAGGTAACTTGTTTGTTGGCACATTGTCCCCAATGACACTGCGAAGGGACAGCTTCAGGTAGTGATAATTTTATCATCTCTTGAGTGCCTAATACAGTAACTGAATTATAATAGGATGAGTCTAGAAGAAGATTGTATTTATAAAGACTTTGTTAATACAGGCATATAGAAATTGCCTTATCCCTTATAAATTATTTTAAGATGTGCTCTAACCCGTTTTAGAGACAGCCACATTGATTTACACACTTCAATTTATGAGGGCTGCATAAAGGCTGCTATAAACTAAGCCATAGACATTTATAAATGTCTCTGCAACATGTCATAACACATCTTATGATAATTTATGCCATTAATCATTTATTAATTATTTTAAAAGGATGAATGCTGTCGTCACTTACAGCGAGTTCTCTTTCTCCTTCTCTCCGGTGTTCTCTTTCCCCATCTCCATCTCCCCTAATGTCCTTCCAACTTTTAGAAAAACGACCCTGCTGTCTCAGGCTGAAGTGTGGGATAAGGCTCTTGGCAAAAAAAAAAAAAAAAAAAGAAAGTCCTTCTGCCTCGAGAGTTTTCAGGAGAGCAGATTTTGGAGATGCGTCTCATTTTAAGAGTGACCAGCTCAAAGGCAGATGGAGGGACGGTTACTGTGTTGGCCACGGAGGGTTTGCTGGGTGAGCTGAGCTGGTCTGCTCAAACTTACTGAACGTTCTGTCCCAAGCATCCCGCAAGTCAGTCTAAGGTCAATTGAACGCTATATTCAACAAATCTTGTCGCAATTATTTCAGCATGAATAGGAATGTTAATAGCGGGCCCAGGCAGGGCTTGTGACTTCGGAGCTGACTTGGGTATGGGATTAACAACCAGAGCATGTCTCAGCATCGCTCACTCTGGTATTGATTCCCCCATCATGCGTCAACAAAAGGGGAGAAATGAAAGGAAATATGGATAAAAAATGGATCAAAGCTGGATGGAGCAAAAGTCTCAGTGGGGGCGATGACTCTTTTAATGTGGTTAAACCTGTCACCTGATAGCCATCTCTTCCCTTCCCCTTTCCTGCACTTTGAAGTTGTATATTAAAAATCCTCTCCTTGAAATCTCACCAAAGGGAGCCTCATCACTGGTTTTTCACTTGCATTCAGGAGTGCAGCCAGATGCTGCAGCGACCGTCGCAGCTACCACTGTCCCTGTGACGGTGGCCCCGGCACGTGCCGTGCTCCAGCTGCCAGGCGCCAGCACAGGTTAAATGCACCTTTTTTTCCTTCTGCTGATGGCTATCATCTCGTCACAAATTCAGTTTGTCCAGGAATGAAACAGGAGCGAATAGCACCACCTCTTTCTGGCTGAGAGTGGAAAATACGTTTGCAGCTAGAAAAACACAGAGAAGAAAAGGCTGAATTTCAAAAGCCTGCTCTGTCCCAGTGTCAGCGTTTCCCGTTGCCTTTGAAACGTGTTAGAGGAGCTCTCTTTGTGAGAAAGCAGCCTGACAGCCAGAGGCCAGCGGGGCATCCTAGGTACCCATTCACCTAAGTGCTTCCAGTCCCCTTTGTGGGCTGCAGAATATTACATATTTTCATTTATTCATTGCCTCTTTAACCGGGAAGGAGGTTTCGGGCGCAGCTGGAGGTTAGCATTCAGCTCGCTCTCGAGCTGTCCATTTTGCTGACTGTTATAAAAATAAAGCATCGTGGCTCCCTGCTTTCTGCGGGCTTCCCACCGCGTGCCTTTAATAGAGGCAACTGGGTTTCCAGCGGCTGCAAGTCACTGAAGTCCTCCCAGTGCTGCAGGCGGGTGTGCGCCATGGACGGGAGCCAAGCTTGGCTCCCCCTGCACCCCACGGTGCACTGGGCAGAGGCAGCTGCAAAACCAGCGGCCTGAACCCCTTGGATGGAGGAAAACCATAAAGGCAGAAGTGCAGGAGGGGGGGCTGGAACTCCTGCTCAGGCCGGGGAGGCTCCGAGCCCTCCCAAACCCTGTGGAGGTCAGCAGCACTAGGGCAGCATCCTGCATCCACCACCCTCCCGCATCACCGCACAGATGGGGCTGATTCCCCACAGCAGCAGCCCCAACGTCGGAGAGATGGGAGCACCCAGGCAGCCAGGGGAGATTTTGGGGTCCGGTAGGGGAAACCCCCAGCAAGTAGCAAGGGGGCAATGCCTGAGCTGCCAGCAGCTGCGGGCTGCCATGGCCCAGGCTGGGTCCTGCACAGCCCCACCGCTGCAGCATCGCTCCCTCGGGAGGCAGGAGAATGAGCATCCCTGTTTAGGAAACTGAGGCATCGAGTGGTTTGTGAGATGGGCCTGGGTCGTGCCGGGGCTGGATCAGAAGGAGGGGCTGAGCCCGGGGTCCCACATGCTGGTGCGCAGTGCCCTGCCATGTCTCTCCAGGGTCTGCAGGCAGATGGGGCTGGCAGGAGCAGCAGGGATGAAACCCCCTTGAACACCCTTTTAGCTCTGTGAATTGGAAAGTTTCCAGAAGGGCTGGAAGCCATTTAGCCAAGTATAGTAATGGGGGTGTCCATCAAAATGTAAGAGGGAGAGCACCTGGCAGGATCCAACGAGCATTAATTATGCAGCTTCCTGAGCGTAGATGTCAATCAGGAGTGGACTTGGGTGACTTATCGCTTTCTCACCAGAGCTGAGAAAAAAGCCTTAAACCTGCATTATCGCTGCTGTTTTACAGCCTCTGAGATGTAGTGACCTTTCCTTAATTGATGTGGAAATGACACTTTGTTCTTAGTTCCACCCAAGCTCAATGCCCAGATTTACCCTAATTTTTTATTGCTGCCTGTTGCTAAAAGGAGGAGGGAACAGCGTATCCGTAATTACCACTGTGCCAGAGTTTCCCTTTTGTGACAAGTATACCTGTCCCCGGGGTGGTCACTGTTGCAGAAGGAAAAATGCGCCGGTGGCTCCAGCGTGGTGGTGTGGATGGAGCTGCGGTACTGCTGCCGGCGCAGCCCAAGCCCGGTGCTCCAGCAGCGCGTGGGCTGCCACAGGGAGAGGAGCACAGAGGGGGCCAGGCAGTAAATTGCATAAAGCAACATCGCGAAGCTGTGTGCCGATCATTCCTCTCCCAGCAACTCCAGCTTGCAATGCTCTCAGATACCTGCCTGCAGAGCATAAGCCTTTGCAGTTCGCTCTGTGTGGGGGAGCCCGCTGCAGCCCCTCCTTTCCCCAGGATTCCTGTAAGTGCAGAGGACACGGGTTTGCAAGGAAAGCTCAGGCATCGTTGCTTGTGTTTTTGGTGCCACTTGCATGTTCCCCAGCACTGGCTGCGACAGCCTTGTTGGCATCGGAGGTGAAGAGGAGAGAGCAGGACCCAGCACAGGGAGCCTCTGCCTCTGCTTTAGCTTTGCTTTTCCTTTGCAGAGCAGCTGTCCCGGGGCTGGCGCCCAACGGTGGCCATGGGTGTAGTTAAATCACTGGCTTTGCTGTAGCTCTGTGCTGCAGGTGAGTGAAAGGCCACCTCACTCCTGATGGGAAAGGCTCCTCTGCTTTCCCGCATCGTTCATCAAAATGATTCTTGGAAAGGATTGCATTAGGGCTGGCCTCTTGATCTTGCCGATTTTTCTCTCTCTCTGTTAAAGCCTTTTGCTCTTCAGCACCTGGGTTTTCTTGCCGTAGACAGAAGTGCAGCTGATTTTGCATGTTTTGTTTTCGGTAGGATGGTGGCTCTCTGTGCTTCTTGAGTTGCAACCCTCAGGAGCAATAGTTTTGCCCTGATGAAGCCTGATGCCTTCATGGGAAAGACCTAAACCAAGGTGACACAGTCTCCAGGGGCTGGATCATAGTGCAGTGACCATCCAGCCACAAGCCTCTGTACACTGGAGGATGCCCTTAGGATTTCTTTTCCCCAGGCAAGAGGATTTAGGCAGAACGATGCATCCTCCCCAAGGGCAGGGGGACCCCAGTTTGGAGCACAAATTGGGCAGAGGTGCGTGGTCTGCTGCCTGGGTCTGCAAAATGAGGAGGTTTGCTGGAAATTGTGCTTTGAGCAGCTCAAACCCTGTGCAGGGAGCAGGAGGGAGATCCAGCCCTGCGGGCAGTGGGGTGCTGGGGGGTCTGCACCCCGGCACATCCCTGCTCAGTATGGGAGTGGGTTTTCCTCCATGTCCTGGCCGTGGTCTGGGGTTCAGAGCCAGGGGAGCAGGAGCAGAAAAAGCTGGGAATAGCTGGAGTCCTGGCTGGAGCCTAGCTAGTGCTGCCGGCTTGTCAGGGGCCTGGGGGGCGCCGGCTCAGGGGTTCCTATTGACATTGCCTCTCCTTCATGGAGGTTTTTACGATCACCGCCATGGCCCCCGCTC